AACAGTAGGCGATAGTGGCTGTTGTAGGACGAGCAGAACAATAACAGCTGATGCGCTACAACCCCCTGGTAGGACCTGCAAGGTGGTCTCTTTTTTTTCTTCTTCTTTTTCCTTTGTCCATCAAACTTGCTCAGGCGGTGTATAATCGATGTGATTGTTGCCGGTATCCGCACCCTGGTTAGCGGGTAGTGCCGCACCACTCGCCAAATATTCACGTACCTATCTGACGCTGCCCCAGCATCGCTCAAGTACCACCCCGCAAAGTACCAGGCTACATCGCAGGGCCGCTGCCCGGCGGAGGGAGTGACGAGGCCAGCAGGTACCTCCGGACACCTCAGCGCAACCGCCAATGGCCCCGAGAGCAACCGCCGACCTCGACTTTTCGCAGCTTCTTGCTGCAGACCCCTTGGCTCAACGTCTTTCCCTCCTCCTCCTCCTCCTCCTCCTCTTCCTCATCCTCCACCACCCCTCAATGAGGCCTGTATATTGATCGCGACTTCGTCTTCCCAGTCTCTCGTTCGTGCCTGCGCCTCAGCTCCATCCGAGCAACGCAACCGCGGCGGCAATTCTTCGCTAAAGGCGCCATCCTGGGACGCCGACTTTCCGCCTACGAGCCAGCGGAGTCCCAAGCCTCTGTGCCTGTGTGCGCGTGCCTCCACTCCCCGTTTCTCAACGCTGAAGAGAGGTGTTAGTCCAGTTTTTCTCGCAACATCATCTTGTAATACAGGCTACTGGATCTTCTTTTTCTTTCTTCTTCTGCCATTTCCCCGGCTGCACTCCCTTTTTTCATTTACTTCTTCTTCTTCTTCTTCGTCCATCTTCTCTCTGCTTACAGCATCCTCATTGCCCTTGGCTCTTTGCTCAGCGGAACCACCACGTCATCCTGGCCTTTTTTTTTTCCCTTGACCGATTGGCTTTTTCTCTAGAGGCCAAGCTTCGACGAGCATCCACCTGCTCTCCGTCCATCTCATCCAAACTAGACGAGAGGCGTTTCCCACCTCGAGAAAATAATATTTCCTAGTGCATTCTACGAGGACAGAAACAAAAGCAAAAAGAGGGGAAGAAAAGAGAGAGAGAGAGAAAAAATAATTAATTGGTAGCGCCGTATTCCCATGCGGCCACCTGGATAATCGATAATGTCAGCTTCCAGATCCGACCATTTGGCACTCGGCTATTCCTCGCACTCTGCCAGCCAAAACCGCTCCAACTCTCCCTCCGCCACAAACTCTCCAATCGATCCCTTGTCGACCACCGCGAGGTCGGTCTTTGGGCTTCCCGGAAGTATGAATTCGAGTAGCATTATATCTAGCAACACGCGATCCGGGACTGGTTCTCCGTCGCACGAGATGGCGGGCTCCAGCCGGCTGTTTTCGAAAAGGTTCGTGGCACGACGATAGCTCCGCCTCCCCCCCCCAAAACACGAGAAGCAACGCAAAGGGTTTTTTTAAGCTCCAAAGATAAAAAAAAAAAAAAAAAAAAAACATCCACTGCGACTGTCTATCAGTCAGCTGCTAACAATTATCATTAATGTTTAGGGCTCGCGAGATTCAGGCTCAAGAAGGCGTCCCCGGTTTGCCTCTCAACCCATGGGGCGGGCCACCGACAAGTGGGAATTCGACTCCTCTCCGAGAAAATATCCCCGAGTCGCCCACCGACGGCTTCCCAAACTTTGCCCAGCTGCCCACACCAGAGAGCTTGCCTCCCACCAGGCGTGCTCGAGCGGGCACCGTGCCCTCTCGATTTCCTGGCGGCATTGGTAACGGCCTGCTAGCCATACCTGGGGTTCCTGCCAACAAATCTGCTCGCGTTACACCATCGCAGAGCCCGTTCAACAAATCGCCATCTCCCGGCATTGAACAGCCAGATAACAACAGTAGCAATAACGGTACCTCGACCCTCCTCTCCAGGCTTCGAGCCGGGTCTATGCCACAGCGTAGCCCTTATGCCAACCTGCCAACCTCTGCCTCGCCGTTCGGTCCCTCAATCTTTAGCAGCTGGAATCCGTCGGGTATTGGCCGCGAACGAGCTACTACCCTCGCCAGCATCGCAAGCGTAGGTTCCAACGGTCCCAGCTCGCCCGCTCAGTCTCAATTTTCCAGAGAAGGAGGCGGGGAGTCTGATGTTCATATGCGCACTCTGGACTACCTTGGACTTGCTGAAACTCCTCAACCCCAAAGAGCCCAACTTGCTACTCCTACCTACATATCCAGCTTCGACATGACTCGGCACGCCAGTCGCTTCCGTTCCTACTCTGTCAACAACAAGGACAAATATGCTGACGAGGAAGACGACTATGACGCCGACATCCCTATCGATAGCCAGTATGCAGCGCTGCAGGATCAACTAGCTGCGACGCAGGCGGCTATCCACAACCACAACATGGCAGTCCGCGCCTACGCAACTCAGGCCACGAGACCTCGTGCTCGTACCGCAGGTGTGCTAGATACGCCGGGAAGCCGCTTAGTCGGATCTTACGGCAATAACAATGCCGCTGGCTCTATCCCTCAAGCTGAGATTCGCTTGCAGGAAGAGAAGGAGTATGATGACATCTCCCAGGCAGTTGCTGGCATGAATCTGGGACGATCCAACAGCCGCAACGCGGGCCATCTCAACCCCGAAGAACAAAATCTTGATGGCCCAACCAGCGCTCTTTGGCTAGGCGGCATTCCTACATCCACCACTACCTCTACTCTCGTCGAAATGTTCAAGTCTCACGGACCGATCCTTTCAGCTCGCGTCCTCACACATAAGAACTGTGGATTTGTCAATTTTGAGAGGGTAGAGAGTGCAGTGTCCGCCAAGGCCAGCATGAATGGTAAAGAAATATTCCCTGGCGCTGGACCTATTCGAATCAACTTTGCCAAGCCTCCTTCTGCTTCCAACACTCCAGGACATGATGGAGCATTCCCATCTCCCAGCCCTGATCCCTTTGGCAAAGCTCAAGAGGCCAACAAGGGGGCTTCGGCCACTAGACCCGGAGAAAACTCGTCGGTTGCTGCTGGAGCACTCAACAATGCTACGCCAACCTTGCCTCCTTTGCGCGAAATGACCACGGATATTCTCGACATCGTGGGAGAGTTTGGCGCAACTGACGAAGACAAGGCTCGAATTTCCAAGAGCCTGCAGTCTGCAGTGCAATACAGCGCCTTTTTGGAGGAGATCCCCCCCATTCGCGAACCGACTCACACAAGGGTTCACGATGCCCCTAAGCTGAGAGACATTCGCAAGCGTATCGATAACCAGATGCTTTCTCAGGCAGAGATTGAAAACATTGCTGTGGATATGCTTCCTGAGATTGCCGAGCTTGCGTCTGATTATCTTGGCAACACTGTCGTCCAAAAGCTATTCGACCACTGCTCTGATCAGCTGAGAGATGCTATGCTTGCTGAGATTGCGCCGCATCTAGCTGAGATCGGTATTCACAAGAACGGAACTTGGGCGGCCCAGAAGATCATTGATGTGTGTAAGACACCTAGTCAGCTGTCTCTGATTGTAGAGCACCTTCGACCCTACACCGTCCCACTCTTCTTGGACCAGTATGGCAACTATGTCCTACAAGGCTGCCTCAAGTTTGGCGCCCCTTACAACGACTTCATTTTCGAGACGATGCTTAGTCAAATGTGGGAGATTGCACAAGGTCGTTATGGTGCTCGAGCCATGAGGGCCTGCTTGGAAAGCCACCATTCGACAAAGGACCAGCAGAGAATGCTGGCTGCCGCTATTGCACTGCACAGCGTTCAGCTTGCAACCAATGCAAATGGCGCACTGCTATTGACCTGGCTGCTGGATACTTGCACTTTCCCCAACCGCCGTCACGTTCTCTCGCCGCGACTGATTCCCTATCTGGTGCCCCTGTGCACCCATAAGGTGGCCTATCTCACAGTGCTCAAAGTGATTAACCAGAAGAATGAGATCGAGGCCCGTGATAATATTTTAAAGCGCCTCTTCATCTCTCCTAACGACCAGGTTCTCGAGGCTATCCTGAGCGACCAAGCTTGTGGAGCTACTTTCATCTTCAAGGTTCTTACGACACCCTTCTTTGAGGAAGGTATGCGACTTGAGGTCACGGAGAATGTCAAAAACGTCCTGGTCAGAATCAAGGCACAGGCAAACCAGGGTTACAAGCGACTCATGGATGAGGTCGGCCTCGCAACCCGGACTGCCGGACCAAATCGCGAGACTAGTACCCATGCAGAGCAACGACAAAGGCCGACCTCACGACAGACCAATGGCCAACATGGCCAGCAAGGTGGCCAGTCTAACAAGGGTTTCTACAACGCCAACTCTGGGGCTCCCAATTTTGAGAATCAGCAGCGGGGTGATAATGCCGATGCTGGACCTCCTCCCCCTTTCCCTGCCTTCAACACAAGCATGATGTACAATGGACAGAACGGCCCTATGCCTCCCGCGATGAATATCTCACAGCTACAGTATCAGCAGAGCATGATGAATCGAGGAAACCCGCAGATGAATTACCCATACCCGCCAATGCAGCCTGGATTTGGCGGCTACGGCAACGCTGGTCAGCCGATCGATCAGTACCGCCAGCAGAATATGCCGAATGGAAGCCCAATGCAGCCTCCAGCTGGTGGCCAGCCACCTTATGCTCCGCCCCCCGGCTTCGGCATGGTTGGTGGATATGGCTATGGCGGAAACATGGGAGGTGTACCCAACAATATGGGTTATATGCCGCAAGAGCAAGTCAACGGTAGACGCGGTCGCGTACGTCCCTCATCTTCCAACAACCGACAAGGCCGTAATAATTACTAACATACCTCACTTCTCAGAGAAAGTAAATTTTCTTTGACTGATAAATTCATGGCGGCGTTGTACGACTATAAGTCTGCAACCAATGTGTGTATGCCTTTGTATTGCAGCTGGCCGGTCAGCTGAGGCAAGATTTCTTTTTTCATCTGCCGCGCGCGGAGTTTGGTAAAAAATTTGAAATTTGATATAGAGGCCCTAGGCAACAGTGCTCGCCTCCAGCGGGCTCTGGTCTAGGCAAAATACTGGCTAAGGATATCTGCCTCCCTAGGATGCAGGGGTTAATGTTTCTGCGTCGAGGATTTCTCATTACAACCACTACGAATCATTCCTCTGTTTAGACCTAATAGCAGCGTGTGCTGGGCTGGTCTCCCATATTCAAGCCGCAGCATATAAAGAGACAGACAGAGGCATATACAATGTTTTGTTCTTTCCTTCAACTATCATGTTTGGACGGTCGCGGATATGAATCGACTATTTATGCTGGAAAAGAAAAATCGGAATCAAAATTTGCGGGAAGCGCGCTGTCAGATTATTCGATTTCTCCTGATGTCTAATGTGATTACATTTTTCGTTTCATTGCCTCTTCTTCTTTCTTATTTATCTCCTCTTTCGTCCCTCCTCCCCCGTTTTTTCTTCTTCGTTTCTTTCAATGTATCAATCACGCGATTGTTATGTCTTCTTGACTTTTTAACGAGATTCAACAAATATCTTCTCTCTCTCTCTCTCTTTCTATTTACCCCCTTAAGAACAAAAGCTGGAGGTTGTTGTTCACTTTCAGACTTTTTATGCTTTGTTTCCTTTTTTTCTAGCTTGATAGGACTTGTTTTATAATGTCTTGTTCGAACAAGGTTGGATGAAGAGCGAAAAGCAAAAAGCGGCGATAGATTGAGATAGCAAGAAGGAACGTGTGAATCAAACCCTTTTTAGCTCACTTTGTGTGAATGGAAAGGGGGCTGAGCGTTTGAAGAGATGTGATGCGAGAGTTGAGATGAGTAGCTTTTATGTTTCTTTTTCATTTTATCTGCGTTTGCGGTGGCTTACTTCAAGCTAAAGATGAAAGATTTTAACGGCTGAAATGAAGAGAGTTGTATATTATGATCAAGCAATAAAAAGTATTTTTTTTTCTTTCTCCACTATGAACTGAACATCTAATACTGAACTGAAAATCTAATGATGAATCTAATGATGAACTGAAACACGGATAGTAAAGTAAAAAAAAAAAATCAGATTGTGACATGGCGCCGTTTATAGGCGTACGAGAAGATTGCTAAATAGTGTCCCGCTCACAGTATTGGCAAACTAGGACATCACCGTATGCTTTCTTCATCAAACTACTGGGCATTACGGATGGCAACGCAGTTAAGGCTTTAATATATATATGATACAACTGCAATGCCATTATTACTAGAAGTCTGCAGCTATCTCTCATCTCTCATCTCCCCTCTCGCCCTCCCCCCCTCCCTCCTATCTCCTCTCACAAAGCCCCATCGTACTTTTTTTAGTCCTCCCCTCTCTGATCTTCAGTCTCAGCCCATCTTCAGCTAATATTTCCCTCACGAGGGGACACACATTGCATGCTATGCCCTTTGTTTGCTCTCCAAGTCACACAGTACATATATATGTATGTATATATAATACCGAAGAGAAAATAATTAGGAATAAATAAAAAGTCACCTTCCAGCTCGCCATGGATATAAAAATTTGCAGTCTTGGTTCCATTTCTTTTCTTCCAGCTCTCGCATCAAATGCCGAAAAGAAAACGTCGCGAAAAGAGAAAAAAAAAAAAAAAAAAAAGTGCCAAAGTCATACCAAAGTCAAAGCCAGACTGCTGCAGACGGTTGAGGGAAAAGCAAAAGTCATATATTCTGCAAAAATGTTCAATTATACCCTCCCAACTCCTGGATTCATCTTGCTTCTTCTCAGAAACAGAGGGAAATAAACTAAGAAAAAAAAAATGTGATAAAAAACACTGCGTAAAAAGGGCCCCTCCAATTAATCGGAGCCGTGAGCACCGACCATTGGGGCTCATCTGCAAGTTGGAAAATTCCAATTCTTCTATGGCAAAAGGAGATAAAAAGGGCGATGGGATTTTGTCGTAGTCAAGCAGTCGTAACAGTCTATCGATGCCGCAATTCGGCCAGCCTCTCTGAAAGCAAATCTGCAGGGATAAAGGGAAAGGGAGTCGCGATTTTTTCTTCGAGATTAATCGAGCTCCATGGTAACCTCTCCGTGGTCCACGGTCGAGGGTGGAGTGGGTTCGGTAACGGGGGCCAATGGCTCCGTCTTTTCTGGAAATGTGTCCACGTCGGAAGTGTCGGTGACAGGTGAGCCTCTGTCGTTGGTCTTGTGGGTGACTGAGGTGGGCGGCGGGGCTTCATCGCCTAATAGATGGCGAATCCTATCTCCCATAGCGTTCATTTGTGCCAGCATAGCACGAAGACCCATCTTATCTGCTTGAACAAGGTGACCAGATGCTATGTTGTCCGCATTGGCTTTCGCCATAAGAGCCAGGACATTATCATCGGCAGTGTACTGTACAGAGTTAGTGACATGTATAATCAGTATGGGCAGGCGAGAGTGCAGGTCTGTGCGGTAGGGCCCTGCGGAGGTACTCACTAAAAGAGCAGCTGTAAGCTGGTCGATATTCTCGGACCGACTCTGCTTGAGACCCAAGAGGTTCAGAGACGCTTGCATCTCGTTTACTTTACGGTCATAAGCAGAACCAGCAAGCACACCGCCTGAATCGGCCATAGGTAGGCCTGCATACGGCATCCATCGCATTTCATCATGGCGAGGACCGTATCCTGCACCGCGGCGTCTCAACCTTGAGGAAAGTCGGGATGTTAATAAGGCAAAAATGCATTACATGGGTTTGAGAAGCGAGCTGGTACTTACTGCTCGATAAAGTCAAGGACGACTCCCTTGGCTTGTAGCCTGTACGTTTTGCCAAAAGAGTCGGGATCCCGCCAGCCTGACTTTTCAGGTTCCTCGAGCTCATCACCCCAATCAAGTTCGATGTGGCCGTTGTTGTTGTTGCCGCGGCTGAAGGCAGGTGAAATGACTTGACCGCCTTTAAGTTTACGGAAGCGATGCGCTGGCGCCAGAGGAGGCACGTCTCCTAACACATCATCGACGTGTGCTGGGCATCGCCAAGTCTTCAAGACGGGGGGCATAGCCAATGGTGGATCGAGACAGTCAATGTGCCAATGAAAGGGGCAGGCGCTGCAAGGGATTATGGCTCGAATCTCAGTGGCTGGCTTCTGACACGCGTGGCAGATCACTGCCTCCCCATCTTCCCTTTGTTTAAAGAAGTCTGGCAGCTCATCATAGCCAGCACGCTTCCTAAAAGGAGATATAGAGTTAGCTATCCATATGGTGAAAAGAAGAGAGGTAGCGGTCTCAAGTCGCGCCGCTCGACCCAGAAATGACGTGAAGTTAAGACTGGGCGGCTAGGCAGATTGAACACTTACTTTGTTCTGTTATTCGTCACTTCTTCGTAGTCACCGTCAGCCCCTGCCTTAACACCCTCGAAACGAGTCTGTGTCTTTTTGGGGAGGCTAAAGGCACGGGGAATGCTCTTCTCCAGAGCGATGAGAGCGCTCGCGAATACACCTTTATAGACGGGCACACGAGAGGGGTAGCGCCGAAAGCTGCATTCATTGCAATACCATTCGTCTGGGAGATGGTCAGACTGCACCATGTCCACACACTCAAAGTGGAACGAGCGTGGGCAGCCATCACAGCAGACGACATCGCCGGTGTTACCACATGCAGAGCAGTATTCATCGTTGTCGGATCCCTAGGATATCCACCCTTGTCAGCACAGTTTCCCCCCCATCGTCGTATTACACGTTGCATCATCCCCCAAATCCAGGCAGCGTGCGCGGACCAAAACCGCAGCCACTAAAATTTGCCTGGTTGGAGATCCTTGCCCCCCAATGTTGTGTGGCACCCAGGTCAAGAAACCCATACGGCGGCTTGTGGTCCAAAACAAGGAAAGGAATGACAGTGCGAGAAAAAAAATTGTGCGTGCAGCAGACAAAAGTAGAAGCCTCCTTCGAGACTGTTCATTTCCACGCCCAGGGTTGAGCACAAGAGCGTAGATTTGCATCACCTAAAAAGGCCACGTCCCGTCCACAAAAACACAAAGGATGAAAATCTCAATCACATACCTGATCTCTTGGCGCACCATTGCTGGTTGTTGCTGACGGTGTCTCGCCAGTTGAGCGAGGAACGCCAGCAGCAGTACCGCCCTTCTTCTTCATTGGCCTGTGATGAAATTTTTTTTTAGCAAGGGCAGTTTGGTGGTGGTGAGTTCAGAAAGTGTCTCAAAGATAGTAAAATGATGATGAGAGTGATGAAGAGTCATTACTCGTAATGAAGTATGATAATTGAAGAAGTGATGGTGGTTTTCCATTCATAAGGCTGGAAAAGCTCTCATAGCATGGATGACGCAAATGTAGCGCTTCACAACAGACAGCACTACTCATTGCATCCCGTCCTTTCTTCATACTCTCTCAGACAAGAGAAGAAGGTTATGGGTTTAGGCAGATTGAAGCAAGTGTTGAAAGGGATAGGAAAGGGAAGGAAAAGTGATGGGGAAAACCAAGGGTGAAACTCACGACAACTTGATGCGAAGACCTGTTCTCGGTTTCTTTGTCGGCCGCAGCGCAGTTGGCGTAACAGCACGCGATCCAACAGTTGAACTACCTTCATTGAATGAAAAAGCCAAGGGTGATGAGACGGCAATATCGACGTCGTCATTGACATTGTTGCTGCTCGGCCTCTTGCTGGCTGATCGCGTAGCTCGCGTGCTAACGGGGGCCACCAAAGACTGCCGCGATCTTCTCGTCCTCCTAGCAGGAGTCACCTCGCGCTCATCATCATCACCATTCCGTACTGAACTTTCCCGTGCAGTATAGGCGTTGGTAGCCTTTTGAGCATCGCGACGCCGAGTCCAAAACAGGTCGTCACCATCTGCAGGCATTTGAGCCTTGGCAGCGTTGCCGCCGTCCTTGGGACAAACCGACTTGCTGTTGCCTGTAGATTTGCTGAGCAACAACTCAGAGCCGGAGACCCTGCCAGGCATACTGGCATCGGTCGCGGATGTGTGGGTGCGGCTCGGATGTGTGGGAGAAGTTGGCTCCGAGGAGTTGGACACGGGCTGCTTGTCGGAGGCGAGAGATTTGCGGCGGGCGCTGGTGATTGGCCGAGATTTTGGCGCATCATGGGACGACTGGGACCGGTCCCCCGTAGTCGACGCAGCAGCAATCACAGTGTCAGCGACCGTGGCACCACCACCGCTGCCACGGCTACCGCTAGCAGACTGATCGTGCGCAGATTTGTTTGATTTGGCTGCTTTCGCAGTGGTATGCTGGAGGCTGGGGCTGAGGCTGTGGACGCTTGCTTCTGGCGATGAGAGGCTCATAGCTGAGGACAGGGATGACTCGCTAGAGCCCGAGTCCCGTCGATTACGCCTGCGCGACGGCGTTCGCACGCTGTCGCCGTGCGACTTGCTCCCGTTGGCCATCTTCTTGCTGTGCGGAGTGTCGTTGGCATGAGAAGTCTTGCTTCTTTTGGCGGCTCGCACCTCGCCCTTGTCGTGGTCGGCATGATGAAGCAGGAGCCGGGCATATGGAGCAGCCTTGGGCTTATGCGGAGTGAATCTGCTGTTCGTAGAAGGGGGCACGAAGTAGTAACAGCCTTGGTCATCCTTTTTTCCTTCGCGCTTCTTGACTTCAATTAGGCGAGCGAATTCATCCATCGTCTCGGCATCAGCCCTTTGCTTGAACACATCCTCAATCATGGCCACAAACTCAGAGTCGCCGCTTCGTTCATCGTAGAGTGACCTTAGAGCCCAAGCTGTAGGATAACGGTAGTGCATGAGCGCTTCATCAACGGCGGCTTCGACCACCTTGTCTGCAAACTCTGCATCCTCGGGCTCCCGCCGGTGCGCACGTTTCGGAGTAGTCGCCACTGGCTTAGGCTTTGGCGGAGTAATGACAACAGTCGTAACATTTTTGCCCTCGCTGGCGCTGGCGTTCTGCCGTGCCTGCTTGGCAGGTAGCGACACGCGCCGCGATGGTCGCCGACGCGCAGCTCCCTTGGGGTCGTATTCCTCATCTTCAGCATCCTTGGCGGCCTGTCCCCTCCTGTGCGATGGCGCTGACGCGGGAGGAGGCGGTGTTGTGGGAGCGGGGGGAGACGTCGCCCTCGGTTTGGTCCTATGCGCCGTCTGGTCGTCCTGGTGGTTTGCGGCATGCGACGATCCTGATGGCCTGAGAATGATTTTCCGAACTGGTTGATGTCCCGGTCCGGCCTCGCCGCCCGTCTTCTTGGGCTTGGGCAGCGTCCCCAGCGGCGCCATGGTCTCCAGCACGCCATATCTCATCAATCCCGCCTCCTCGAAGCTTGCCTTGCTCTGGACGGACGGCTCCAGCCACCGCTGCATAAACGTTTTGGATCCATCATTGGCTGCAGAGCTCTTGGCCTCCAGCGACCGCGACGGGCTTGAGAAGCGCGACCGCGACGCCCTCGTGTTGGAGGAAATCATGGTGTTGGGCCTGGCGAGTCGAGTTACTGGTTGCCCCCAGCCCTGGCCGCGGGACGGGCAACGCTCCTCTCGAGAGTCTAAGGGAAAAAGGGACGGGTCAGCCGCTGGAGTCTGGCAAACTGTGGGAGAAGGGAGATGCGCAAGAAACAAAAAATGTACTTCTCACGGCAGCAGCAGCGGCATCAACTGTCCACGCTCGATGCTCGGTTTTTCTCTTTTTTCCGCCGTCCGGACGCGTGGGCTTGGGATGAAGGAAGGGTTGGCAGTGGGTGCAGGTTCTGGATGAGTTTCGGAGGAGGCGGCCAGGCTGTTGGACAAGGGGGGCGACCCAGTGGCACGTCCAAGGTTCAACACTTTCCCTCCACCACCGATTCAGAGTTCCGCCGTAAGGCCAGCAGGCAAACTCGAGGAAAAAAATTTATCGCCTCGCCATGGGGATGCTGGCACGGATCGCATGGATTTGCAATGAGGCAGAGGCGGTCTGGGCTGCCTCGGCATTCCGTATGGCTTTTGATGCTGCTCACTTCCTCCTTTCAGCCTGCCCAGGTAGACTCAGACGCTGGCTGATACCAGCAACGCCTCTTTGTTCTCATCACTCTATGCTACTCTCATCTCTACTACGGCTCTCTCATTTATGTCTTTGTCGCTATCTATTATTATTAATTTTTCCCCGCTCTCTGCTCACCAACTCCATTTCGCCCTCTATTCGTTTTCCCATGTTGAAACTCCCTGGACCACTCAATTTCAAACCTCAAGCCACGGGTCTGGGTATTGGCATGGGCATGCCTGCATCAGTTACAAGAGGGCATCTGCTACGTGTAAGCCCTTTTTGCGATATTTCCCCCCTACCTAGGCACCCGCTGCCGCCAGCCTCGCCTGTTGCCTCTGTATGACGAGCAAAGACAGCGTCAAATACAGCCTGGCTGGCTTCCTTGTGTCCGAGTCCTGCCATGGCCTTTTATTCCCGCTCGGCTCTCGAAAGAGGATGAGCAGCAATGATGCCCAATTATATCGCTTCGAATCGAGGCGGGCCTATGAAAAACCATGCTCTGTGCTGCTTGCATAATTAATCTCCATGTTGCCTTTTTGGATGTTTCCTTTATCTTATCTTTTTTTCCTCCTCATTTCTTTCTTACCTATCTTCTGGGGGAAACAACGTCACTTTCTGTTACACCACCTTCAGCTCTAAGCAACCGCCGTCATCGTCCTCCACATCTTTCTGCGGCCAAGTAGACATACACGTAGCAAACCGTAGCAGCAAAAGTTTGCCTCGAGATGAGTTTGCGTTTGATGCTGGTTATACTGCCTCGCTTCACTAGATCCGTAAGCTCCCTCAATCACAGCATATCTCATCACTAGATAGATTGCACTTGCAGAAAATCGGCGCCTTGGCTTTCACAAATCGCGAAGCCAATAATTTTGTTCTTCTTTTCTTTTCTTGTCGAGTGGATTTTCTGCCTAAATATCAACTAGGCTGTGTCCCACTCCCGGGCGGGCCCTTTACATAAATCTTTGTTTCCGACACTTTACTCTGCATCAGCCTCCTCGGCAGTTCCATCAGCCTTCGTCTTCTTCTTGTTCTTGGGCTTCTTCTTTCCGGTATTCCTGGCCAGGGGCTGCTCGAGGATTTTCAGAATCTCCTCATCGGTGATCTTCTTGTCAGTCTGGTACTTGCTCAGGTCGAGCTCAGGGGGGCCGCCCAGTTTGGTGATGCCGTTCTTGGTGATGGCTGGCGTGCTCACAGGTTAGTTCATCTGCATCTAGACTCACACGTTCTTGCACCGTGACAATTGAACTTACCAAAGGTTGTGAGGAGTCTGGCGACAGGGGAATTGTCCTTGTCACCAACCATCTCGTACTGGCGGAAAACGTTGTTTCGCACACACTCGACAACACCAGACTTGGCGTCACGCTCATCATCCAACTGTCTCAAGCTGAAGGGGAAGGTGCCAAACTTCTTCTGCACTTCGGAGAGAATCTTTCGGGAGGTGGGACGCTTCAGCTGGTAAGTCTGGGTGGTTCGGCGGTGGAGAGTTGCCCGGTGGTCCAAGGTCTTGACCTTTCCAGAGCCCAAGCTCACACCGGTCTCAACGCCCCAGACCTCGCCCACTTCGGGGACACCATCGCCCTTGGTTCCCTCAGCGGGGGCAACAACGATCTTCTTGGATCCTTCGATCTCGTTGCGGGCAAATAACCAAGAAGTGGTGCTCTCTACCAGCTTGCAGTCGTAGGCTTCGCACACCTTCTCCAACAGGCTGCTGATCTTGGACTGGGTGGGGGCCTTCTGGGAAGCGGCCTTGGCCTTCTCTTCGTCGGTGCCCTGGGCGAGGAGACCGGGAGGGATCATCAAGCGGAGGAGAAGCTCATTGGCATAGTGGGTGGCGAGGATCAAATCAGCGTCGCGTCCGGTAACGGGCTCAGCCGCCTTCTCCTTGGAGGTGGCGAGGACAGTGTTGCAGACAATTGATCCAAATCCGTCAATCTGAGCTCCGAGCTGGATCTTGATGGCCTCTCCCTCCTTGATCTCGATTGAAGCCTCGCTCTCATCAGTGGTGAGGGGAGTGTAGGGGGTCACGTAAGACGAGGGAGAAACAGTGGTCGGGTGAGAGAAACCTTTTGTTGTACGTGATCAGCCACGATGCCGCAGAACAGAGGCTGCAAATATGCATGATACTAACCCTTGACAATTTTCTTTCCACGGTAGACCTTGGCAAGCTCCTCTTCGAGCAGCTTGTCACCCTGCTGGCAGACATCGACAATCTTTGCGCCAGGCACGCAGAGCTCAGACACGGCGGCCAGGACCTTTTCGGAGATCTGGGCAGCGGTCTTATACTTGGTGAGAGTATCCGGGTTGTTGAGGGTGTAGTCTGCGCCATACTATTAGTCTCGGTTCCCCTTGTCGGCCGCGAGGGAGCTTGGGGATTGTGGTCGTGTGCGGCTGCTATGATGATGGCATTTGAGGCGAGAGAGCTTGCTGCTCGGCTTGGCGGGGTACCCAGATGGAGGGCGGGGAGCTTAATTGCGAGGCACAGCACACAAATACAGTGCGCACAATGGGCGTCAGAGTACATACCGATCTCCTTTGTCTCCGACATGGTGGGCAATTGATGGAGCTCGAAAGCGATTCTTGGGGTGTTTTTGGCTGGTGCAGATGTCAGAGCAAGCTTAAGACTCGCTCCGTCGCAAAAAATAGCAGGGAAAGAGTTGGCAAGCGAAAGCTGTGGTGTGCGCAAAATTGGGACCTCCCGATGGGGGCTTTTGGAGGGGTTTATCCGGTCGTCGACGGGGCCAGTACGGGGCTTTGCATGCCAGTGCAGTCATACGGAAGCACTAGCTGTGCTCTGGATTCAGCTGTCAAGGCGCAATACGAAGGGCCAGGGCGAACGTTCAGGCTACTCGCTTCTGCCGAGCTCGACGATTGGGCGAACCATGTGCCGGAGTGGGTTCGTCTTCGCTTTGGCTCTGGCTCTTGGCTTTGGCTTTACGGTGGTTCTGACGCACATATTTTATGCGCCAGCAGCCAGGCAAACAGCGCCGCAAGCAGACAGGAGCTTCCACTTATCTAGTCTCTATCGGCATACGCATGTATGTACCCATTCGTCTCTTCTATGTTAGATTCCGGATTCCTATGGTGGGAAGTTGTTGCTTGGGATGGTTACTTGTACATCAAACATGCCGTGGCCTAACACGCAGCAATGCCGCATAGACGGAGCCGAGGCGCAAAAGTGTGTTACATCACTTGACAGCCCATGTTAGGGCATAAGACGAGATGCACGTCACCAGCTCCTCATAGCGCCTCTGCTTGAGAAACGGGCCCCCAAAGTATCAGAAGGCCCTGGTCCTTGTCGCACTACTTGCCTCGATATACAACGAAATACCGTGGATAATACTCGGCTTCGTCCTCCCCAGCCTTTTAATCCTGCGTATAATTGATCATTGCGCCCTCATTAACCACCTGTCGAGAAGAGTGCAGGGTATGTCAGCAAACAGCTATAAAGCCAACGCAGCTGCAATGGTGCTAAATCGTTACGTTGCATTCAAAGCCCACGTATTGATAGCTTCTTCCTTCATAACGTAATATATGTAGCTGGGAGTACATATTACTTGATCAATTCAATAGTTTTGAGGGCATCACGCAATCTAAAAATACAACATTCGTGTTACACTAGGCCCTTGGGTGTAGGATGATCAGTACCTATGAGAGCATTGAGTGTCGGGTCCATCGGCTGATCTTCGGGGGAGTACGGTTTGTTGACGGCGGCTTATTGGCGGCATTGCCCAATGGCCATCTTTTTTTTGGCTCAGTCTGCTGAGATCTTGCTACAATGTGTACCTTACCACTTGTATCGAATGGGTAATCGATCCGGCTGCATGGGATTGGCCAGCTGAGTTAGTAAGCAGCCCGAGTTCAGGTTGTTATTTGGAGAGCAGCCGCGACTAGATTGGCCAGTGTCTTAGTACTAGCGCCTGCGCACCTAGTACCAGATAGGTAGTTCTTCCCACTAGCATTAATTATCAGGAACCGCACTCATTCGCGCTGCTGCGATTAGAATCTTGTCCTCGTCCACCCGGACTCCAAGTCTCCTCCGCGACTTGTAGCGCAACTTGCCAACAACCACCGCCGCTGCTGCTGCCACGACATATCCCGGGTCGAAGCCAACTTCCAGCCCAACGCACCCGAGCATCGATCCACCTGTCGCACCGCTGCGGCGACTCGGCAGCGCCAGCGCTCGCGACGAGACCAGGACAACGCCACCATGGCCGCGGTTCAGCCATCAATGCCGGCTCCAGCGACAAGCACGGCGTCGGCCGCGACGTCGGTCTCGGCGTCTGATGATACCAAAGATGCGGTGCCCAAGCCGGGGGCCTCTGATATCCCGGTGCGCACGAAGGAGTCCTTTGACAGGCTGATGGTCGAGCGCTACACGATGCGCGACTCCATCGCCGCGTCTGCCCTCAGCCAGCAACTCAACCAGACAATGAAATCGTCCCACGAAATGCGTGAGATGATCAACGAGTACCGAAACGTTCGCAACGGATATCAGCAATGGTTCCCTCCCAGCAGATTATACGGCGAAGGCTACAACGGGTACGCCAATGGATATACAGAGAGCCACGGCCCTTCCCGAGTCGTGTATCCGTCACAGAAGCCTCGCCCCGGTCACCGGTCCACCCCACCCTTGAAATATAGCCGAAAGGATATGCTCAAGCAGGCAGAGCAGCATGAAGATTTAGTGCCGCTGCGGCTGGATGTGGAGTGGGATAGAGTTAAGCTGCGCGACACCTTTACATGGAATTTACACGAGCGTCTTTTGGCCGTCGAGCTGTTCGCTGCGCAGCTGGTCGAAGACATGGGCTTGAAACCTCCTGCCTCACAGCCAGTCTATGAGCAAGTCGTGCAGCAGATGCGGGAGCAGCTCAATGACTTTTACCCTTTCGCCTATTCCGAAGAAGACTCGCTGGACCCAGAGCTCCCTTATTCCGCCTATAAGAACGATGAGATGCGCATTCTTGTCAAGCTGAACATCACCATCGGACAGCACACCCTGGTCGATCAGTTCGAATGGGAAATCAACAACCCAAATAACTCACCGGAAGAATTTGCTGCCAGCATGACTCGAGATCTTTCCCTGTCTGGAGAATTTACAACAGCAATTGCCCACTGTATCCGCGAGCAGTCACAGCTCTTCACAAAGAGTCTCTACAGCATTGGCCACCCATTCGATGGCAGACCGGTCGAAGATTCAGATCTGGTGGCTGCTTTCCTACAGACGCCCTTACCAACCGTTTTCCGCCCGCAGCAACAAGCCAAGGAATACGCCCCGTACCTGTATGAAATGAGCGAGGCCGATTTGGAGAGGAACGAAACAGTCTTTTCTCGTGATCAGCGCCGGCAGAAGAGATCGATAAACCGAAGAGGTGGACCGCAGCTTCCTGACCTCAAAGATAGGCAACGTACCATCCGTACGCTCATCGTCTCGTCTGTGCTCCCTGGTGCTGCGGCAAACATCGAAGAAAGCAGGCTGTACAAGAAGGTGGCAGGTCCTCCCAGGAAGCGGCCCGCCCGTGATGGTGAGATATCAGAGTCCGACGAAAGCGAGGATTCGGCTCCCGAGTCTCCTGCGCCATCAAATTTGGCTGGTACAGCTCGTACAAGAAATATGCGTGGTGCTGCAACTGCCGCCCAACAAAGAATGGCCAACTTGGGCCGGTCAGAAACTCCAGACATATCTAGTCATCATCATGAGACTAGGACGTCCCGTCGCGTCCGTGAGGAAACGGAAGAGCGTACGGACTTATGGGTAACGCTGAGAATCAACAACAGGGAAAAGCTGAGGCGAGTCATGAGGGGCGATTATCGCGACTTGGCGACTCCCTCAGTACCACCCGATACTCCTGGCTCAACATCCAACACGAGAACACCGACCTTCACAGCTCCACCAAAGCCCAAAGCGATGACACCTGTTCCAGCTCCTATTTCATCCTCTTCAGCGCCTGCAACTCAACCAGCAGGCGCTTCAGGGGCCGTTCCTCCTGGCCAGATAGGCCGCCTGCCCGCGCCGCCGCTCATTCCCGGCCAATCTCCTCCCCCAGCAGTAAGTTCCATCAAACAACCCAATATCCCCTGACATAAATAAATAGTCATCGTCTCACATCGCGTTCTCTCAACAGCCTCCTCCTCCTGAATGGCTTGTGCAGTCATTAAAGGAGCTCGAAAAACAGTATCCCAACGGCGATAGGTTCGAGGCCATCATGAAATACTCACATCTTGACCCGGTCACGGAGCTGCCCATTCAAACACAGCCCATGCCGGAAGGCGTTAAATATGCTTGGCTTCCTCGCATCCGCTGTCTGGACTGTACAACAAAGCTTTATACCCCTGGCCCGGATATGACAGCGCAAAAGTTCGAGGCCCATCTCAAATTCTCTGGCCATCGTGAAAAAGTTAGGGCGAGGCTAGCATCCCAGGGCAATGCTGGGGGATCCTCATCGGCGTCATAACCAACTTGATGAAAGCGAGAGCATGGGGGGGCCGACGAAAGGAGTAATGGATGAGCGTAATAGAAGGGCGTGGATCTTGAATAACGTGCTACATGACAGCCCAGAAGCAAAACTATGACAACCCTTTTGGTGTTGGTAGATATATGGGACGGCGGAGGAAAGAGAAGAAGAAAGAAACAGTATGCTATTGTATTAAACAGGTGTTGCTTTGGTGTAGAGAAAGGGCCTTTTTCTTCTTCTTGTTTGGAAAGATTATTTGTCAATTTAGGAAATAAGACGGCGGATCAGTAAATATACTTTGAAGAAGGCTGGCAGTACTGTGAGGCAACTATTCACCCTGTGATTGAAATCTATATTACCAGAAAGTTAACATACCATAATGTCAGGGGCTCCCGGGAGCCCTCTGAAGTGTATATCTCTCTTTTTACAAAAGCATAACGTTATTACAGGGATCATTCTTCCGCTGTAGAGAAAGAAAAGTATCAAAAGGAAGAGAGCCCTTTCACAATTTTATTTTCTATGCCCAAAAAGCTAAGAAACATTGGGGATATATAACATTTGCAAGCGGCTTACATCGAGTGTTGTGTTCTCCCACCTCCATGAAGTATCATTCTCTGTCCCCTCCCCCCTTCTCCTTCGTTATTCATCATACAAGAAGGTAAACCGGCTTGAAAACAAAATTCAAAAGGGAGAAACAGGTAATAGCAAAAAGAAAAAAGCTTCCCCGCCTCCAGTGCTTTGAACAGAGAAGAACTAACAAAAGAAACGACGAAGACGAAGCTATAACAACGAATAAATCAGAGGGGGGCTAGTATGAACAATTTGTCTTCTTCAAAAGAACACAATTCCATCTCAAAGGAAAACCTTAAAGAGTAATAAGAAAGAAGGCATCATTCTCGTCTCCAAGCAGAAAAAAAAAAAATCAAATTCCTAACATACATATTTTTTTCACTCGTCATCATCATCATCTACATCCATGTCCGATGCTCCCCTCGCTGCCCGCCCACGAGTAGAGCGCGTGCTTGTCCTGGCCGTTGCCAGGGCGCTGGCCTTGACGGCCGGTGCCGCTTTTCCTCTGCCCCTGGGAGCGGCGAGTTTTCTCCCGTTGCTCTTTGGCTGCGGCTGCTCTGGCTCAGACTCCTCCTCGTTCACTTCTTCGGCGGCATCTTCTGCTTCGTCGTTTTCAGGCTCAGAAGCTTCAGAGTTGTCTTCGTTGCCGCTTTCTTGCTGATCAGATGCACCTTCGTTATCATTGTCCTCTTCATCACCGTATTCCCATTCCGCGACGCCCTCCAACATTTCTTCTTCGTCTTCTTCGTCGCCACGCTCTGCGTAAGTCGAGATGTTATGAGAGCGGCCACTGCGCCGTCGCTCACTCTCAGGAATATTAGATTCTGCCTTCTTAGCCTTAGGAGCTGCTTTGGGCCTTGCGGGCTTCTTGCTAGGAACTTTAGTCGACTTGGGCTTTGGACTTGGCTTTCCTCTGATAACGGTCTTCATCTGAGTCTTGGGTTTCTTTGCTGGATGGTCTGCGGATTCGTGTATTGACTTTCGTTTCTGGAGAACCCTGTTAGCATCATTCGGTTGTTCATTGATTAACAAAGCTGTCTTAGTAATACCTTCTTGCGGTCCATCACCCGAATCAAGTCATCCAACTTCTCGTCCAGCTCCTCTGGAATAAACTGCTTCTGCGCAATATGCTGAGCAACTTCGCTGGACGGGAGAGCTGTATACAGCCCCGTAGGCAGACCAACTTTGCCTGGCCAAGCCTGGAAGCTCCAATTCTTCCTCTCCTGGTATTTACGAACCAATGTCTGCGCTAGATCGCTTAATACGTAAAGATTTTCGCTCTTCTCCGGTTCAACGCCGTCACGCGTTTGCTTCACCCTTTCGGCGTATTTGTAAATTAAAGAAATGTTTCCCTCGGTTGCAACTGCGCCCAAATAGAAGAGGAAATAGTTTGCAAAATCAACCAGGTCAGCTTCGTCTGGGCTGTAGTCTGGATGGTGAGCCAATAATGGGATAAGTCTTCCCATGAGGGCTTCCATGATCTGCTGCTCATTCTGGGCGTAGTATCGAGCTCGTGATCGGAGCCAGGTTTCTACGCGATTTTTGAGTTCCGGGAAAGGTTCGAAAGCTGTTAGGAACAGGATAGTATGGAAACGCGCGCGCAGTTTCCCTCGAGTGAGATAATTTTGTAGCTTGTCCATAAAACGACGGCGTACCTGGAGCTCGGAATCTTGAACGAGCTCCGCAAGCTTATTGAAGCCTGCATGGTCAAACTGATCATCATATTTTTTCACAGTGCATAGCTTCAGAATCATGAGACCTGCCAGAAGCCTAAGACGCTTTTTGTGATGTTTGGGGGTGTCTTTTACTTTGGACAGCTCGCCTTCCGCGACAACATAGGTTTTAAGGAGCTTGAAGATAGGCTTGATCCGCGTCTCTGCATCAGCATCTGTCGACGTAGCAAGAGCTCTATTAACTAGAATTCTTATCGAAAGACTCTTCGCTTGGAGCTCCTCATCCATGTCGGCATCATCGACCCAAGTTGGATCTTTATCCCCGGCCTCAGTTCGGACTTCGTGAAGAACCTTCTTTATGGTTATATCGTTGATTGCATCGTCCGAGTCCACGGTAACAGTCGGTGCCAAACGCTCCAGTTGACTAATAGTAGCCAGCTTATTGAGAAAGTGAGGCGCTCCATACTTCAAGTTCGCCATCACCTTCCGTAGTAGAGTTGTGGCTGTCACCTTACTCTTATCATCGTTCTTCGCCAAGAGGACGTTGATAGCGTACTTGGGTGTCTTGATGGGAACGCCGTAGAGAGCGTAGTTGATGAGTGTCTGGGTGAAGGTCTTATCATATTTGACGTCCTCGGGATACCTCTTAGCGTAAGATGAGTAGGCCTTGAGAATATCGCTAACAGAAGCATCCTGAGATTTGGTAGTTTCGGTTGGAGCTTTTTGGATCAGTTCTTTTCGCAGTTCTTCGGCATGAGCTTTGAAAATATCGGGATTTCGCTGAGATATGTCGTTGAGCACCTGATGCGCCACAGCAGCGAAGCCGTTCTTATCGCTCTTTGAGTAGTCCATGATGGTGGCTAAGTGGCTTCGGTTGAACATGAGACAGCTTGAGCGATATAACAAGGGAATCAGTGTGTCCAGAGAGCTCGCACCAGAGCTTGCCGATATTTTCGTGATCAGCTCGGCGATCGCGCGTCTCACGGTCTTGAAGTCACTTTCAGACTCAATCGCGTACTTGACAAGCTGGTAGCTACGCCGCTCATTGAGCTTTACAAATTTTTGAAGGTCGCTACGAACCTTCAACGGATCGGGAAAGTAGGCACCAAACCATTGCATAGTTTTGGCGAGGCCAGCCTTGACTTTGTCCTCGTTAGCTTCGATGACGCCGCCGTTGTATGCTTCGCACTGCTGGATGAAAATCTCAACGCCCTTGGCAAATTGAGGCTGGCGCGCCTGCATGGCAAAGAATGCCTTCTGTGCTGGAGTATCGAGAGACTTGAGCATCAACAAAATTCTCTCGGCTCGTATCTTATCCTGATCGGCCTGGCCAGCCGCGGCTTTCCCTTGCGAGGACGCAGCGGCAGTCTTAGCCCCTTTGCCCTTTATGAGGGGATACTTTAGGGGTATCAGGCATTCGAACATGACGCGGTCGAGAAGCACATTGAGGTCGGGGTCGTTGGCATAAAAGGCATTGATAATGCGCGATGGAACACCTGAGAGACAGGCAGTAACGGCTTCCTGTCCGTCTGCAATCTCCCCAGCACCGACTGCCCACAATTTGCCGAGCAGGATCATGGCCTCGACGCGTACAGCTGGTTTCCTGTCTCGACATCGATCTGCAAGACTTGCAAAGACTGAGCCCTCCTTTTCTACGCCGCCAATGATGCCCAGCTTTAGGACAATATCTCGGAAATCGAAGAGCTCAATTGCCTTAACTGCTGCCAAACGAACCTTTTCTTCGCTATCGTTCAATTTGTCGACCAGGGCTCTTACTAGTTCATTTTCTTCTTGGCTGCTTAAGCCAATTCCTCCGGCAGAAGTAGAAAGAATGTAACCAACTGCGGTTACCCAGGCAGTCCGTATAGTTCCAGTCTTGTCGTTCTTCCGGCCGACAAAGTTGCGATATGTAGCATGATGTGTCTGGGCGAAGGATTGTGGAGAGTACGGTTTGGTGAGAACGTTGGCCTCAGCTACAACTGTAGGAGTATCATCCATCAGTCTAATCGGGGGGTATGCGGCGGGATCGAGTACGGGGGGCTGCGGAGGGCCTGCAGCTCCAATGCCGGATATCATGTCGCCGAACGTCTCTGTAGCTATAAGCCGCAGGTGAACGTTATCGGCTGACAGCTCAGCATCTAGCTGAGGAATAACGTTTTGGAGGACGGCAGGCGCTGCTCGCCAAAGCTCTCGGATAAGAAGATGAGCCTGGCGAAGACTCCTCAGATCAGCCTCGGAGGGCCCTGCATGGCTATCTTCCTCGTCTGAATCATCTCCTCCATGGCGAGTGCCATTCCCAGCAGTTGCAAATCCGGAAGCATTAAGAATCACATCGCTGAAGTACTGGCTCACGTAACGTGCCATCTTGTCTGCACATCCATTACAAATAGCTTTGGCCATGACATAGGCGGCCGGTTCTGTCTTGTGAAGGAGCGTCGATTGCTTGCCGTTTTGCTCTTTGCTTCGGCCACCGCCAGGGGGGGCTGCTCGCAAAAATTGGCTGATGATGGCATCAATAACACTCGCCGGTACACTGCCAGGAGACTCGTCAATCAGCTGGATCAGCATCTCTGTTAGATGGATTTCAACATCCTTTGCAACTTGCTCCTCAGCCGGTGCCTTGGCATTTGCAGACACTCCATCAAAAGTAGAATTGAACAGGCGCAACAAGAGGTCGTCGGCTCCATGGATTTCGGATATAAGCAGAATACTCTTGACATCAGTTAGAGACATGAGAACGTATTTGTGTTGGCTATTATATGGGTTCGTAGGGTCTTGGAGGCTCGGTAAGATATCCTTTACGAATAGGCCGAACATCATCTATGCAGAATCAGATTAGCAAGCAAGGCCAAGACAGGTGCAAGACTGGGCGAGTCTACCTTGAGCTGATCATCCGTAAACGGAGCATCTGGGACAAACAGGCGCAGGATATCAACCAAACAGCACGCGGTGTATGCTTTGACGCCTCTATCCTTGTGCTGCAGCAGATTGCGATGCGCTAGCTGGGCGGAGACATCCTTGAGCGAGCTCAGGTCGACCTCGCCTTGTTCAAAGTCTGCCAGCTCTTTAGACAGCTTCTCCAGACGAGTCAGAAGAGTGCCGCTGGGGATTGGCTTCGCAGGCCGCCACGACAGCTCTTCATTAAACTGGAGTCGCTGATGCTCTCCCTCATCATCGCCCTCAGCTGCTTGCGGTTCCGCCTCGGGCTCTGCTTCTGATTCGGCTTCACCTCCAGATTCCGGGTTCGATTCTTGGAGCTCTGCCGGCGCGGTAGACTCCTCCTCCACTGGCGCCGGCGCCGACCGTCTCCTTGCGGATTGGCGAGAGCGCATGTTTGCGCAGGTACAAAGATGGCGACGTGTTGCTGTCGAAAGGCGGCGAACAAACTGTCCCGAGGTCCGCTTAATTGGCTGGTCGCGAAGGCGTTCGTCTGCTGCGGCGCGCGGGTCACAGCATCGCACAGTCAGAAATAGCTTGTTGACGGAGAGACGAGCAGCTGCCTAGCTCGAGGACGCGACGACGGTTCTCGGCAGTTTTTTTTTCCCTGGGTATTGTTGTTTTTTCCTCACCCCGGCGTTGGGCGTCAGAGAATGATGCACAAAGATAACGATTTGCGGGAGGGCACATGGACCAGAAGTTTAGAGGGGAGCTCCAGCGCTCAGTTACGCGACGCGATGGGAGATGTTCCGGAGTGGCCCCGCGTTTATTGCTAGCCAGGAACTGCGCTGCTGCTGCTGCTGCCACTGCGAGACGGTAAGCCCGAGGCGAGGACAGACACCAGGCCTTGTGTTTACGTCTGGGTCGCAGGCGCTATATTAGCCCGTCTATGCACAGGTAGGCACATGTACATTTCCAAACACTCGTTGCACCAACGTCCCTACCTGGCAATAGTTGCAGTCCTCGCTGGGCCTTTTATTGGGCAATCTGTGTTACCGAGTTATATCAGCTCTGTTCTAGCCCTTGGCTTCGCTCGACATCGTTTATCTGTTTATTGCAGTGCCGAAACTTGATCGGAAATTCAAGAATCAACGTGGAAGTATCAAGAGGCTGAGAGCCCCCTATTTTTTTCACCGCCGCTCCCGCCGCGAATAAGTTGCTGTGAATATTAGCTGATGTAGCATCGCCAGTCCCGTGCGACATGATTCGACTTTGTACCATTTTTAGATCTTCTCTTACGTTTGTCATTTAACATGGAATCTGCCTATACATAGATACCTACCCAGCTGCCTGAGCAAACACGCTGGTGAGTGATGCTGGCGATGCCCAGAGAAAGTTGCCAGCTTTCTCAACTTCTACGTTGCGTTCAATGTTCTCTTTCAATTGGCAATGTCAACAAGGCTAGATTGAATAGTACCTGTAGACGTCAACAGTAATAGCAACTGTGGGCACAGAATCGAGGACTTAAGCCACCGAGTTTGGTCTATGGATTCTATTAGTGAGCAGAAAACATCGAGCTGCAGCAGTCCGTCCTGACAAGCGGCTTTCCACTCGATGCTGTATACGCATCTGCTCCAGCATCGCAAGCAAGCCCAGACGAATCGCCAACCGTGTTTGTTTCACAATTCGGGTATCTACTCAGAGCCGGAGTTGCATGACTGTACTCGTGAGTTCTGAGAGAGATTGGTGTACAAGAAACCCCGGATGTCACCATCAGCTGCCATATTCTGGAGGCACGACTAGATACAGTGCCGACTAGCACCATGATGACCACAGCAGTCACAAAAAATACAATAGCTGTGTTGTATATCATCTTTCACGGGACCTGAGAGACTGTCTCCTATTTTTTTTACCATTGACACGTACACGTTCATTGACATTAATATATTTATTCTTTCTTGCTTTTCCAATATTGTAATTCCAGGAGGCTTGCTATTATCATTCTCAAACTCACATTTCCATCACCACAGCTCGTACGGGAAACCATTCCAAGCTTTTGTCATCTATTCAGATGCAAAGAAACCAATCGTTGACGTGGAATCGCCACACTTGTAGGCGTTGAGTGGGCAAACACCTGTAAGTGCCAAGTCGCCAGTTTGCCGGTCCGGCAAGGCAACTCCTCAACATCCATTCACCAGCCTGCCCAGTAAACAAACGGAATAAATTGGCGCGTGTTTCTGATTTTTTTTCCCTGCGTGATTCAGAATATTGAGCGAATAAAAAAGACGAAGAAGAAAGGCTCGCGCATTTCATCACCTCTCTTTTCCTTCCCCCCTCCCACCTTGGTCCTCCACCTGCATCCGACACACTCGTTCATTATAAACTGCAACAACATTCGACTTCTCCCTCTCTCATTAACTTCAAACGTTTCTGCTCTCTCTTCATATCTTCTGAAGCGTCCTAAGTAGGTATGAAACTCTCCTACTCTTCCCTTCTGCTGTACCATCGTCACGCCTGTATCACCTCGAGCTACTCTTCCCGACAAACTCTTCCCGTAACACCGATCACCAGGGCGTTCCAAAGCGGATTCTCGCTAATATAGTGGTTTCTAGCCTTGTTGTTCTACTTAAACACTCTGCAAGACCATTCTGAGTAGGCTGCCCTTCTTCTTAGCCCCCATCCAAGCATCATTAACCTATCTTCCATAGTGGCGAACATGAAGGACTCGGAATCTGGCGCTGCGCCTCAGCCGAAAATGAGCACATTCCAAATCGCTAAGAAGCATCTTCTGGAAATGAAGTTCCTCATGGGCACAGCCGTTGGTGTCTGTATGCTCGCTGCAATTCTTGTGATTAGCCTCCTGGCAGCTCACTGCGGTATGATTTCCACCCTGCGGAACAGAAACTACAATGATTCTGACCAATACAGCTGGCCTAGAAAAACTACTTGAATCTCAGAGAAGATTTGCTATTGCGAACGAAGAGGCACTCCCCATGGCTGTTCACAAGCTTGGTCGCCGCGATGCTGACTTCCACGAAACCAACATGGCCATATCTGACTCCTCTGCTGAGGTTGTTGCGCTGGTTCTCGACAATGGTTCTATCTCTGCCGAAACTCAGTCCCTTGTACCCAAGGACGTGGTTTCTATTACCAGCATTCCGATCTCGTAAGTTTACCGCATCTCCTTAACGAAGATTTCTTCTCACTTCTTCATAAGTACCCAAACGGCCACATCGACCATCTACAGCATCATCACTCCAACCCAGCCAGTTATCGTGACAAGAACTACAACTATGACTACTTCAGTCCTTCCCCCTCCAGAGACATCCGTGTGCTCAGCCTTCAGCACTACGGTGACTGTCACCGTGACCGTCGTGCCTACTCCTAGCCCCTGGGCTTCCAGTTCTGTCCTCGGCGACGTTACCGTGACTGCTGGCGCATCAACCATCACCAACTTCAACACTGACGTCTCTTACACCAGCGGACTTCCAGATGCCACCATCTCTGGCAGCCCATCGACTGTCACTGACATTGATGTCTCTATAACTGGCTTGCCGGACGTGACCATCTCCGGAAACCCATCCACGGTAACTAATGTCCTAACCGACGTATCTCTTACCAGTGGTCTTCCCGATGCGACCGTCTCCGGCAATCCATCGACTGTCACTGCAGTTCAGACCAGCTTCTCACACACCCCAGAACCTGTCACTTCGTTCGTCACCGTGGTTATCTCTGACCTCTGGGGCGCTTCAGCCAGTTCTTCTATCCCAGAGCTAGTGACGGTCACCGCCATTTCCACAGTCAGGACAACTGTCACCACTATCGATGCCGCCCCATCCCCCATCATCGTCACCGTTACAAGCGCTTACCCCGAGCCCACGATGAGTACCTCGACGGTTTCCTCTGATAGCTCTAAAGCCGGCGCTCAGACGTTCCGTCCGAGCGTCCTCACCGAAACAATCACCGCATCTAATGGCGAGCTCGCCACAACCACTACTACTATCCTCATACCAACAGCATTCTCTAGCATTAATGGCACCGCGAGTGTTTACCCATCCGGGACTGCGACGAGTGTCGTTATGCCTACCATCCCAATTGTGGTATCTGGCAGTAGCAGGGGCATGGAGCCGCTCAGCCACGCTCTTTGTCTCATCACGGCGATTACAGCTATGATGTCCATGCTTTAAGAGCATCTGTTTTAGTAGTTAATGCTCTTTGAGATACCTTTAGAGAGATATTCCACTGCATGTAAGGTATATGGGAAGGAACTGGTTTGGTTGATTTTCTTTTCAATCTTCTTTCCTTTCGAAAGGAAAGCATTTACGGCGAACTGGATGAAATATGGTCTTCAGGCTGGCCATCGGATAAGGAATGACGCTTTGTTTAATTTTTCAGAACAATTTTAGGCAGTTGGGAATCACAGGTTATATAATCGCAAAGGCTCTGGGTTTCAGAAAATGTAGGGTCCCGTAAGAAGATGATCCATAACCCAGTAAACTAAATGATATCTCGAATTGAGAGCAATCGAAGAAACAATACCGTATCCATCATCAAAAGAAGAAAAAGCCTGGTCCAAACGCCTCCATCTTGTCCCAAAGAGGCTGCTCCTACGACTCCAAATGCTATCATACCCAATTAGTATTAACAACAACTCAGGTATATATACCCTTCGTCCCAAAGCTAAAACCTCTTTCCTTGTGCCCTCGTCCAAGCAAAGCCTGAGCAAAAGGGCGATTCCGACCCTCAAAAAGAGCATTCTCCTTGAAACCACTGAAGTGAGCTATGTCTTTCTAACGCTGCCCACGCGCATTTTCTCGTGCTTGTCTGGCCTTCCAGCTTTCTCTGATCCGACCAGCGGCGTCATAGAGGTCTTTTACTGAAACGCGGTCTTTGATGCTGTCCAGGACGCTTGAAACTGTACTCGTATGGTTTGCTTCGTTTTTATCGTCTCTGAAGCGCAGAAGACGCCATCTTCTTTGGTCATCTTGGTTACATTCCACAATGCGGTCGTTCAATGGGTCGTTCAAGCCTTTCAACGTCTCCCACTCCTCTTCCGTAAGGTAAAGGTCATCGAAGCGGGCATATTTTTCCGGACCGTCGCCCTTGAAAACGAAGAGATCTGCTTTCGGTACGCTGTCATAGTCGATAAAGGGTTCTGTAATACCTTCTTTGCGTTCCCATTCATCCGGCTCAACAGTCGGGAAAGTAAGTCTCATCCGTAGGTCAATGGTATTTTCTTCTGGTGGCTTCCACTTAAGAATGTGCGGATCAGTACCGTGCTTGTAAGGCGTATTCCGGCATGTGAAAATAAGGCCATCGTTTCCGTGCTTTAGTTCTGGGAGAATCTGCTTGAACATCATCTCAATGCCGTAGCCGAGTTGAAACGGCTTCATTTCCATGTAGAAAGGTTGGTATTGTAGCTCGTCAGGGTAATCCTTGAACATCTTTTTATACGGCGTATACAGTCTCTCTCTAAAATAAGCCAGCCGTTTATCAAGAGATCGATCCATAAGTTTGTTGCCATCCATCACGAGACAGTCGAAAACGAGGAATCGAGGCTCCATTACTCCATCAGCTCGTTTATCCCATACTAGTTCGCCGTCAACAAGCGTTGCTGTGTGAAAAGCACTGACGTCCGTCTCGCGCGGGAAATGCAGGCTCTTATTGGTGATATACCAATAATCATTCTTGCGATCAATCAAGTAGTGCGCCTCTGTCTGGTTCTCATCCTCGGTCAAGTAAAGAAGGTAGCGGATTCCATCGGATTTCTCGCATACGTAGTAGCTGGGCAGTTTGTTAGCCATAAAAGTTTAAGAGATCCAGGTGCCTTGTTGGCGAATGACTTACTCTTGTTTGGTCAATTCGTCCAGATGTTGTCTGGCAAAACTGACAGGTTGCGCGCCCGGAAAGCTGGTCTGTTGTCTACCCAGCAGCTCTGCAACTTCTCGGCGCATAGTATGCAGAAGCTGGCCCTCGGCCTTGATGCCGGGTTCGTCAATTGACCCTATGGGCCCATCCGTTTTGTTGGGCTCCATTGCTCGTCGTCCTGACCTTTGTCAATCGGCGCGTTGCAGCTTAGCGGTGCTGTAGGATCGAGATCGCCGAGAGAAGCTGAAAGCCAGCTGAATGGCCGTATTGAATAGAGTAGTAGCTGTAAATGATATGGAGCTGCTTGATTGAGCAGCCAGCGCGCTCGAGGCAGGACACCTCGTGAGCGTGGAGCCTAGCGTAGTAGGAATAAATTGAAGGCTAAAAGAGCTGCGCTCCGTCGCTGTGACGTCCCTTTAACAGCTCCGGCGCCTTGTCCTTATCGATAAAGCGCAACAACCGTAGCTACTACAAGGCCGCACCAGGCAAGTATAGTAGGCAAAGCGTGAGAGTAGATTGGAAAATCAGTTCTGAAATCATGGAGAATCACCATCATCTTATATATCTATATATTTTAAAAAGTTTGTTTACATCTAGCAATAGTTCCAGGGTCCATTAATATAAATCTTATAATGCACCGTTATGCTTTCCATGAAATTAAAATTACCCAAGGTACAGTTAAGCCTCTATGAATACAGGTACAAAGCATAACTTTACCAATACCATTACTGGGCAAATTAAACCTACACACAAAGATACTGCGCTAAGGCAAATAGATTGAGAGTGAATAAAGATTAATTGCTATCTAATTATAGAGCATTGCATGATGATATCACCTATTTGTTATTCAGACCAAGCTACTACGAAGTAAATCGCTCTAGAAATGGCTCTAAGAGCAGCTTCATAAGAATATGAGGTATAGTAAACTGACCAGTTCAGATGAGAAACTCGTATTCTTAACCTTTCCTCTTATATTAGAAATTCGTCATCATGATTGCTCGTTCCAGTGATAAGTCGCTAGTTCTCGTCTATTTTGTCGACCTCTGCCCTGGCCTCTTCCCACTGTTGCTTGCTCTTGCGCGCCCATTCAACTTGGCTTCTCGCATATGCCAACTGTAAAGACAATTAGCAACAAAATTTGATGAGAATTCGGTGGTGACTTCTCGGCTGTTGTAGACTTACCATGTATCGCCTCAAATCATCTTCCTTGTCTTTCTGGAACCGTTTCAAGTCGCTAAGCACACTCGCGCTGGCATCCTTGACATCCCTTTCGGAAGCTACTTGCGCTTGTTCTAGCTGCCCTATAGACTCACGCGTCTTTCCTATAGTATCTCGGCGGGTTCGCTCGGGGTCCACGTCAACGACTCCCTGCACTGCGTGGCGGATCGGACCAAATATCTTGTTTGTTATAGAGTTGGTGCTGGGCATCTTTCGGTGTGTTATGCTCGTCGTACTTCTCTCGGGAACGCCTTGGTTTACAGACGGGGGCACTGACGGAAAATCGCCATGAGTGGGTGGGAAGTCGGAATCTATGGATTCGGTGTCCTCTTGGCTTCCATCGCGTCGATGCTGTGTCGGGGGCTCTCTAAGACTTGCCGACCGCTTAGGAGGGGGAGAGATTTGCTGACTGCTTGAAAGATACTGTTCAATGCGCCTCGCTTCTGCTTCACTGCGCTCAAGTTGGTCCAACAGGGCTCTTTTCTTGTTGAGCTCCTCAGTTGTCATATCTTGCTGCACACGCTTGAGGACTCTATACCGCAAGACGCTTCTAACGACACCTGCAAACTGGGCATTCTCTCTCATTGGTTCTGCAAAACTTGCGCCCAAAGTGCCTGAAAGTTCTTCAGTCGCAATATACGACGCATCAGCGGCTTGACCGATCCGTTCAATGGCTGGTCCTAGGGACGGGGCTTGCTCAGAAAGAGCAAAAGCGTTGTATCTTGACCCCAGTTCGCAAAGGTCTGCCGCTAGTGACGATAAATGACTAAGAGTTCGGCGATTGACCTTCTCCATAGGGCCTGTTAAAAGCTGTTCCAGCTCCTTAATCGACGCCTCATAAGAAATGAAATACGGGTCGAGCTCCTGCTCACTGAGATTGGATGCATCTGCTGGGAAGCGTTCGATCGCATGCGCAGCACCCTGGATGACAGAAGCATTTAGGTCGGCGCCCGTGCCTGCTGAAGTCTTGAGCTTCGATGAGCTCGATGGGACCGGAAGAAAGCTGTGAGCAAGTGTTGGGTTCGCGGTGTCCAATGGCGGTGCTTTCAGGATAACCTTGGGAATAGAAGCAACCGGGTGAGCATGCAGAACCTCGCTCTAGCGGTATATTAGCAAAAGTCAAGATAACCAATAAACTTGAGAAAAAGGAAAGGAAAGCCCATTACCCAGCTTGAGTTTGGATCAAGAAACCTCCACCAAACTCCGTCTTCTCTAACGGCGTCCATTCGGCGACAGCGATTCAAAAAGACCATTAACATGCGCTTTCGTAGATCGATAATTTGCTGATCTTGCTTCGCACTCGTGGGATTCGCAGCGTAGTCGGCCATAGTATGCTTCTCTGGAATGGGAGGGATGACGAGAGTCGGGTGAAGACGGGTCAACGCATCTCTGAGCGAAGCGAACTCAGAGTAACGACGACGAACCTCTAAATCCTAATTCTAGAAGTCAGAAGACGTGAATTCAGCAGAACGACTGAGTGCGGCTCACTCCGGTTTTGATAGTGTACACAATATATCTCCCTCCACTTTCAACGCTTTTGCCCGCATCTGTAATCATAATTGGCATGTTCGGGTTCTCATAGAGGATCTGCTCGATACGGCTGTTATATCCGCCTGGCCTCCGCCGCGGAGGAGTGTCCTCCCTCAGGACGTCTTCATCGTCGACTTGGCCAATACCATGGCTGAATGGCGGACGTGGTGACTGGCCAACGTCGCTCCCAGTTGAAGGGGTATGAGAAGCCTCAAAAACGCCATCTACAGTGTCCAACTGCCGTTAGTTTTGCCATTATTCTCATCGCGATAGACCAGCGACCAATTTTTGAGCAATAGGCCCAGAGGCGCTCCGGGAGTCGAGGTGCAATGGACTTACAGTCTCTTGATGTCGGCGAGCTCGGAATCGCCGACGACGAGGTCTGTGAATCCCGGCGATCGAAGCTGGTTCCGTAAGGATTGTTGTCTTCGTCGTTCCACATGACGGCGGCTCTTTTGTGCGGTGCTGTCTATATGTGAATACGGTTCTGCAGGCGGTGCGCGGCTGTGGTCGTGGCCTTGGGTTCTCTCAAGATCGTCTGAGTGTGCTCTAGCTGTGCCTGGACGACGACGAGCTCTGGGGCAACTGTGGCGGGGCGGAGTCGTTTAAGCCGCTGCGACGTGGGGTCGAGATCAGGGTATGCAAGTCGCTGTGAGCGCTGTCGCCATTATCCAGCAAACGCGAGTACAAGATGCTGCGGCCTGGTGAGAGAAACTCGAGTCTTGAAACGACGATGGTAGGCAGAAGCGGAGAGCGAGTTGGCGGCTTGCGAAGCTTCGGGAGAATCTGGCGCAGGGCGAAACAAGAACCTGCTAACGGTCTGATGACGATACAGAGCGCGCACGGACCACCTGCATTTACTTGTACCTTGCAAAAAACAGGGTGCCAGCCATGGCTGGGGCGCAGGTTCGCCGCAGGTACTTTGACAGGCAAAAGTGAAGCGATTCTACCTCTTCCACCAACACTGCCTCTATGCCTTTTAGGTGGCTAGATCCATGGATGCTGTTACTCGCCGCAAGCCGTGGCTGCCTATACATCAGTTTTGCAGGCCCAAAGCCAGTCTTTCCCTGTTCATTTCTTAGTTACAAGTACTAAGCTGGTGGACGAGGTGTTTTCTTTCTTTCTTTCTTTCTTTCTTTCTCTTTTATTCGAGCAATATTCCATAAATTTACATTTAATTACATAAAAGCCCATGAGCCCCATGATGTGATGTTCTGGACCAAGTTATCCTTTTGAACTACTAACCCATACATTCCGTCAAACTATATACCCGAGATCCGGTATCCATACGGTAAAGACACGTATTGCAGTTATAAACCTCCTGCTTATTGGTAACCTTGTAGACTATATAGTTCGGTGATTGTTTAAATAGGGAGGATAGTATTTCACCTATCTCGCTATAGGAATAGCATCGCAAATGTTTATCTGCGTTGGGAATTCATCTCAAAATCGTCGCTGTGAACCGTGGCGGCATCACTCCGAATTGACTCCCTCGAGTCGTTAGAAGCGTTAAGATTGCATAGCATTGATGAAGTATCATCTTGCTCGTTCGCTGCTGACTTGAATGTCCTTTTATCTTTCTGATTATTGAATTGCGATGGGATGTTTTCAGGGCGCCTATTTGTCGCTGAATGATCGATCCTGATAATTGCTCTCTGTTCAGGTTCTGGAGAAGGAGAAGGAGAACTTGCAATGGTAGATGCCGCTCCAGCAGGCAGATTGAAAGCTCTATAGAAGCGTTGCCACCATGTAGGATGACCCGATGAACATCCATCCGGAGCTCGGCCTGGCTCCTTGTGAGAGTCTTTGGTTTTTGGGGGTTCAGGCGCTGTTATATGGGAATGTGCAGGATATTGTGTTCCCTGTGGCAGATTTGCTGAAGCCAACGTGTGGATACGAGCAGTGGGAGAATTTATGACGCCAAAAGGCTGCGTTGGCAACACCTGAGGTCCCGGTAAGAAATAAACAGGAAAGTTTTGAGGTAATCCGTTACCGAAGACCAAGTTTTGTGGCATTGAATATAATCCTGGCGGTGCTGTGCCCTTCGGGGTGCCATGGTAACGCCATCCTCTTTGCTTCCCAGACGCATGATTCGTTTTGGTTTTGATGCGGAATATTCTCGCTCGGCCCATGCAATACATCCAGACAATTGACAAGATGATAAATGTAACAACAATGGAGAATATGACGCCAAACCGAGTAGCTGAGGTGAGACAATGCCATCCGAGGCAAGCATCGGACCGGCGAAGAGAGAGTGTTTCCTTTTCAGCACTGAATAGTGACATAGTGATAGCCAAACTCGGCTAACAGAAGTGAGGCGATCAAAGATGGGTTTAATGACGTTCAGTTGTATCGTGGAATATCGCACAATGTCGCGTATATCATCTTGATTTTGAATCATCTACCAGGAAGCTGAGCATGAGTGCTGGAATAAACAACCCAAACGTCTTGTTTGTGCAAGAATAGAAGAATGTATCCAAAAAATATAGATGCCTGAGGACTAGCGAGTGCCTCCATTTGTCGGACGGCTGGCAAAGCGCATAGAACGCTCTCCTAGGAAATGCGCAACTACCTAATAGAGGATCCATTTCTTGAACATATCGTTCAATGGCAACGAATAATGGAAAAACGTGATGGAAAATGTAATTGTACATCAGTGCGATGTAATCGTAGTAGTAGTACCAAGCTATTATACGCGTCTATTGTAGAAAGGGAAATCCCAGCTACCTGCCATGTATTTCCATTACATCTCTAACAAAGCATTGAGTGCCATACAAAACTACTACTAGGTAGGTACATAGTATGAGTACCAATAGACGCCATGTATTTCGTCAATATTTCTAGAGTATAGTCTTGAATTCAGCCATCCTGATATACCTACCTATTAGCCGTAGGAGACGAGAGTTGAGAGTTATATACAGGGCATAGAGCAGCATCAGGGGCCGCAGAAATATTTTGTATTTTCGCTTCAGAAAAAAGACAAAGAGAATAAATTAATAAATTATTGCAATGAAATTATAAGAAAAATATTCGTTCAAGGTTTGATTAATCAAAGAGGCCAACTATTCAAGTTAGCTCCTCGCATCGCTCTTCTATGTCAGTATAAAGTGAGGCTCCTTACTCGGATCCGCAGCCGCTAACAAGGCAGCGTCGCGGAGCGCACGGACCACCTACACTTCCCTCAGCTACTACCATGGAATTTCTGGCTCGCCTCTCCGTGGTGAATGCTCCCAAGACGTGCGATATCAATCTTTTCGGCAGTCAATTCTCAGCTCACGGCAACAAATTCATCCGCATTTGGCTGGCGGCATCTGCCATGATCTAGTGAGAAACTGATGAACACCCTTGGCTGTCACCTTCGAGGCGCTACATTGGCTTCTCGGACGCGTTCTTGCGATTTCGCCCGACTTTAAGCACCCCCGATTTCCTCACAGGCATTGAGCCAGATTCTCGACCATGGCGGCTCTTCAGAACGGTGCCGCAAACGGTGCGGCAAATGGAGATGCTTCAAAAGCCCCTACAAGTGCCCGATTCTCCGATATCCCCTCTGCCATCGATATCCCCGTCCAAGGCGACCAAGAAGACGAGGCGGTCGAAATCGATCTCGAAGTCCTTGTTGATGACCCGACAGAACTGTGTACCCTTTTCGAAAACGAGCATGCGGCCAAGACATACTGGATGACCGTCGCGCTGGCGTATGCGAAACAGCGAAAAATCGACCACGCCATCGAAATGTTGATCCGAGGTGGCAACGCCATACAGAGCAGCGGCAACCCACGCGATAAGGTCAGCATGATATGCTGCCTCTGTTGGATGTATTTGTGGAAAAGCCGAGAGGCCCCTCGTGTTGCGCCTGACGATGTCCATGCGTCGGAAGCCAAAACGAAAGAGTACTATCTGCAGCTCGCAACATCATCCCTGAACGATGCCGCACGTCTCAACCCATCCTTCTCGCCCATCTTCCTTGCCCGTGGAGTTTTGCTGCTGCTCAGGGCCTCACTACAAGGACCATCGAAGACCGCGGGAAGCCTAGGGATAGAAAAGGGCGAGCTCCTGAAAAACGCCGCCAAGGCCTTCGACGATGCACTCCGGGTCTCCCAGGGCAAAAACGTACTGGCTTTGATGGGGAAAGCTCGCACTCTGTTCTCCATGCACAAGTATCCCGAGGCATTGGCTGCATACCAAGACGTGCTTCAGAAAAGGCCAGATCTAGTCGATCCCGATCCTCGCATTGGTATTGGCTGCTGCTTCTGGCAACTTGGATTCAAAGACGATGCCAAGGTAGCGTGGGAGAGATGTTTGGAAATCAATCCCGATTCCAAAGTCCCCAAGAGCCTTCTCGGCCTGTACTATCTTGATGCTAGTGGCCATGTTCCGGTCAACAGCCCAGAATTCCCTAAGCTTTACAAGAGGGCCATGATCGATTACATTCAGGATTCATTCAAACTTGATAAAGACGTTCCTATCACTTGCTCCACCTTTGCGAGCTACTTCTTGTCTCGGAAAATGTGGGATAAAGCGGATAAGCTCGCCCACAAGGCCATTCAATATACTGATGTCAACGCCGTTGCCAGTGACGGATGGTATTTGCTAGCGAGAAAAGCTCACTATAACGGCGATTTAGAGCGTGCCAGTGACTATTATCGTCGCGCTGATGATGCTCGTGGAGGCACCGAGACGGGCTATCTCCCAGCCAAATTTGGTGTTGCGCAGCTGTCTGTCATGAAGAACGATCTTGGAGAAGCGAAGCTGAGGCTGGAAAAGATCATCCAGCAATCTAAAAATCACGAGGCCATGATCCTTTTAGGGACAATCTATGCCGAAGAAATCTTTACCAGCCAGAACAGCGATATCAAGGAAGATAGGTCTGCGGAAATGAAGAAGGCGATTACTCTGCTAGAGGGCGTCAGAAATTCTTGGAAAGATCCCAAGAAGGCTCTGTCTCCGGACCCTTCTGTCCTCCTAAACCTGGCCCGGCTATATGAAACGGACAGCCCTGAGAAGGCCCTACAGTGTCTGCAACAAGTTGAGCAGCTTGAGATTGAACAGATTCCTGAATCGGAGCACCCAACAGACGTTCCCGCTTCCGAACTTCAGGCAGCTCTTCGCAAGTTCCTCTCGCCTCAGCTTCTAAACAACATTGGCTGCTTCCACTCTCAGGCAGAGAAACATGATCTTGCTAGTGAGCTATTTGAGGCGGCGCTAGGTGCTTGCATGAGAGCTGGCGAGAAAGATCCCACAATGGACACCGACGCCTTGGTAACTACTATTAGCTTCAATCTTGGCCGAAGCTATGAGGCTCGTGGGTTGACGGACAAGGCGGTGGAGGTATACGAAGGCCTCCTTAACCGCCACGACGATTATACCGACGCCCGCACACGGCTTGCGTATATCAAACTAAGAAAAAATCCTAACAAGGAAGGTCCTGATGCTGTGGCAAAACTATACCAGGAGAACACAGCCGACTTGGAGGTTCGAGCACTTTACGGGTGGTATCTTGGAAAGGTCCACTCCAGAAAGCGCCCGGCAAACATTCAAGAAGACCACGAGTTCCGACATTACAAGCACACGCTACAAAATTACGATAAGCATGACAGGTATGCCCTGGTCGGAATGGGCAATCTGTACCTCTTGCAGGCGAGAGAAATGCGTCGCGAAACGGAACAAGACAAGCAGAAGAGAAGTGCGATTTACTGCAAAGCTGTTGAGTTCTTCGAGAAGGCATTGTCACTGGACCCGAAGAACGCCTATGCTGCTCAAGGCATCGCCATTGCTCTAGTGGAAGATAAGAAAGACTTCAAAACGGCTCTTACCATTTTCAACAAAGTCCGAGATACTGTCAAAGATTCTCATCTGTACGTGAACTTGGGGCACATTTATGCTGAACTAAAGCAATTCACCAAGGCTATCGAACACTATGAGATAGCTTTATCGAAAGACGGCAAATCAAATGATCCAGTCATTCTCTCATGCCTTGGCCGGACGTGGTTAAATCGAGGAAGAGTAGATCGAGATGTAGATTCATACAACAAAGCCCTCGAGTGTGCTAAAAAGGTGAGCGTACAATCAATATGCCAGGTATAATGCTGTTACTAACTATGAATCGCAGGCACTTGAGGTGGCTCCTGATCAAATTCACTACAAGTTTAATGTTGCCTTTGTTCAGATTCAGCTGGTGACAATGATCCAAGCTCTGCCGGAAAGCAGGCGGACAGCTGAGCAGCTGGAAGAGGCATCAGAGGGTCTCGAAGCCGCGATTGAGTCGCTAGATAAGATTGCTGCCCATCCCCAAACGCCTTATCCCAAGCATGACGTTGAGCAGCGTGCGAACATGGCTCGCAATACGCTTCGCAAACAGCTTGAGAGAGCTCTAGGAAAGCAGAAAGAGTGGGAGGAGAAGAATAAGGAGAAGATTATAGCTGCTAAAGAACAACGTGAAGCCGAGATAAGGAAGCGTGAAGAAGAGCGGCAAGCTGTTTTAGACCGAGAGCGAGAACGGCAGGAGAAGATTCGGAAAGAACGCGAGGCCATTGCCGCCCGCGATAGGCTACAGGCAGAGCAGCGAGCTGAAGAGGAGCGCGCGCGTCAGGAGGCAGAGATGACCACCGATGAAGAGACGGGAGAAAAGGTCAAGCGGAAGCGCAAGCCAGCGCCACGCGCCGCCGCCAGCGAGGGCAAGCCCAGGAGATCATCAAAGAAGAAGAAGGCCGATGCGGACGAGGACGAGGGCTCTGAGGAAGAGAACCACACAAAAAAGAGAAGACGCCTCACCAAGAGGGAGTCTTCTAAGTTCAAGTCTGCTGAAATCGTCGTCGACTCCGATGAGGAAGAAGCCAACGACGACGACTACGATGCTCTGGATCGTGCCGAGAGGAACTTGGAGAGAGATGAGACGCCTCTCTCTGAGGCTGATGAAGATGCTGGCCGGATGGATGTGGATGATGAGAAGGAAGGTCGCGACGAAAGAAACGACGATGATGAGGAGGACGAAGATGTTAGTGCTCCTCGTGCCCAGGCCAAGAGGACGCGCAGAGGCCGGGCAATCGCAGAGAGCGACGAAGAGGATGAAGATGCAGAACCCAGTGGAGCTAAAGGAGACGATGGCGCTGCGGCAGCGGATGAAGATGACGAGTAATAATTGCTGGTGTTTCTTTTTCCACGCATATCTTTTGTTGTCTAAGGGAAAGGATTTAACAGTCCAGCTTACACAATGTATATTAGCTTCCTCGTTATCAAGCAGGGAAACACTGAAGAAAAAAGGAAAAATAGCGAATGTGTTTTACATGGAGATATTACAAGGAGATAGTTTTTTTTGGGGGGGAGGGGGGGGAGGGGGAGACGTTAGCATAATTGTCATTATAGATTATTCTATCCAAGTTATCCTATATCCGGTGTTTTGTTTTTCTACCCACACTAGCCGATCCCTGATATTGCTCTTTTTTTAGAGAGGGATATCACCCTCGAGTCAATGAACCTATTAAAACTTTGTTTAGAGCAAAGCAGTCTATGAAGCCACTCTCTTTTTTTTGGTTCGAAAGAAAGAAAGGTCGTCACACCGCCTTAGGAAAAACCTAGGGAGGCAAAAAATACATAGTTGCCAACTGATATACCGGCGCCACACATGAATATCCTTTTGTTTAGAAAGCGAAAACCTGATCCTCGAGCTTGCTGACGGGACGAGCCTTGGAGAAGCCGAGGCCCTCGGTAGCCTTCTTCAAGCCGTTGATCATAGGAGGGGGACCACAGAGAAGAATCTTGACATCGCTGGCGGGCTTGGGGAGGTATTGCTAGTGCACGTGTTAGTATCAACTGAATATCAGATACTATGGAGGCCGCTAAAAGGATAAAGGGAAAACGCACAGTAATCATATCGGCAGTGACAAAGCCAACGCCGCCGGTCCAGCCTTCCGGAGGCTTGTCCAGCACGTAGTGAACACGGAAACCACTGTCCTCCTTAGCCAAGGCGTCGAGGTCCTCCTTGAGAAGAATATCCTGGGCGGTGACGTTGGCAAAGATCAGATCGACCTCGGTCTTGTCGCCGGTAGCACGTCCGCGAATGATGGCGCGAATGACCTGGAGCATGGGAGTGATACCAGTGCCTCCAGCAATCATACCAAAGTGGCGGACCATGTTGGGGGTGTAGACGAAGGCGCCCTTGGGACCGCGAATGCGAATTGTCTGGCCGACCTGGAGAGAGGCCATGTGCTTGGAGATGTTGCCCTGAGGATAAGACTTGATCAGGAGGTCGACGAATCCAGGCTGGTGGTCACCAGAGATAGGGGTATACGATCGAACGATTTCCTTGACGGTTCCATCAGGCTGAGGAAGGTGGGCGCCAATGGAGATGTGCTGGCCGATAGGAAGACCAAGAATGTGCTGTTGCGAGGGGAGCTTGAATCGGTAGCTGAAGAGTTCCGTTGTTAGAAATGAGCGTGACTTTGCATTTTGAAAAGAGAAAATTAGTTGTGAACTTACATGGCGACATTGTGAGAAATGACAGTCTTCTCCTGAAGGGGGAACTCCTGGAAGACATCCGGCTTCAGCACCTTCTTGATCTCTACGCAAAGAGCATTAGTATCGATACAGCGTATAGAGCGCAGAGGCCACTCACGGAAGCTGAAGTAGTTCCAAGTGCCGAGGACAAGGGCCAGCAGAGCGGCATACGGCGTCCAGTCAATCTTGACAATCATGGTGCCGACGACGAGGAGACCAGCCGGGATGTAGATGTAGTCTCTGTACCGGCGCTCAAACGCGCCCTGGTCAATCTTTGCGGCCATGGCGACGATATCGAGAGAGGCAGCGAGATCTTTCCTTCCAGTGCGAGGCTCGCGACGCAGGTCGTTTGTTCCGATATTTATCGAACTGGAGGTGGGACAAAGCGGGACAGTTAGCCACAGAGGGGCACCGCAAGCTCGGGCTTCGCGGGCTCGAAGGCTAGTTAGTCGGCAATTGAAGACGGCCTGCAGCAGCGAATGCCTTTGTGGGAGACGCGACGATGAGGCTGGCGCCGAATTGGAAGAAAAAGCTCCGACACTTCTCGCGAGTTTTGTCGCCGTCTTCCCTGGACTCTGAAAAGACCACGCTGGATTAGGAAATTTTGGCGGTGACGATTGCAGGGCGAGGGTTCTGCCGTTGAGCTGGGCCCACCCTCAACGAAAAGACGGCCTGGCAGTGGCTAGGCATCGGTAGAACGAATGATCCGGAACGCTCATTTTGGCGGCTGTCTGGTTCGCTCAGCCCATCGTTATCGTCCAGGTCGCGTAGTGCTGTGCGGTAGAAGCTCCATACTAATACTAAGGCCGGTTTATCAGACGGCGCCCGGCAGAGCGATCGCGGATGGTGCTTCTGGATGGAGGAGGAGATGCGGATGACGGGCTGCGACGGCAGAATGAAAGCCGATGGATACGTCATGCCACCACCAGGCACAGCGTGACGGACCATTTGGGCGCTTACAGAAAATCAAGAAGCTTTATCCGTCGTTGTACTCTGCACTAGGGCTCGTATACTGCTGCTGCATAAGTTGTGTTGCGATACGAAGTGCAGCCTCTCCCCAATCAGGGAGGTTATGCGCCGCGAAGAGGAACCCTTTCGGCAGCTGACGTCCGGCCATACGAGATGCACGGCGCACGCAACACCGCATGGAAATACTACGATACTGTGCTAGAGAGAGCCCGTAATCGTATTCGACGGCCCCAATGACCCAAAAAGCTTACCAGCCTCCGGCCCATGCGCCGCGCCCAGCTGGGGATGTGCTCAACGATTTTCAGACGATGAAATCTGCGGCTGGATATGCAGATTCCATACGTATGTAGGTACGGAGCAAGGAGCATGCAAGACTCTTAGATAAACCACAGATTGCTGAGCACGCTAGAAAATAATCAGAAATTGGAGGGACAGCGGTAATCACTGCGTGGACAGGCAAACGTTGAAGCCCCTGGCCAACCTCCTCACGCCAGCTTGCCACCCCCTGGTCAACGAGGCGCTACGGCTCCGCCGTGGATGCGCATGTACAATGCACATGCTGCTCTGCGATGTGATAGGGTAGGTGTAACAGTGATGAAAGAGCTTCCAAGAAAGATAAACAGCTCATGCATGGTGTAGGCTAGATCGGGCACTGATCAGAGGGGAGAGGCGATCAATAATTACATGGTAAAGAGCATGTCATCAGAGGCAAAGACGAGAAGAAGAGGAAGACCAAAGAGATAGCTAGAGATAGCGATGCCTCTCCGGCCGAACGAGCAGGACATGGCACAAAACGGTAAACGGCGACTTCTGCTTCAAGCAAGGCCGCGAGTCGCAAATGCAGAGAAACACGATGCTAAATGGCATGGCATGACGAAGCTTCAAGGCGGAATACGGGGTCCTGCAGTCCTAGCCGCAGCGCGAATCTAAAACCGCGGCACTACCGCGCAGAGCCATCCCACGATTGGCCCTTGGGACGACAGGGGATGTGCATGATTTGCTAACGATGAGCGCAGCTGCGGCCGGGCTTCAATTGACTTTGCGCGCCAAGATCGAGATTCCCAGCGGCCAGAGCTCTGCCAGCGATGACGCTGCGTCGTGAATCCCCAAAACATGCCTGTTGCGGACTGACGGAGCCCCCGTCCCCAGCATCCTGGATGGCTCCAAATACGCGGTTTCAAAGGCGAGAGGGGCCTTTTTGTTCCTATTTTCCTTGCCCCGTGTGGCGGATGCCTGGCTGTCCTTTTCGAATGGGTCTCGTCATCCTGAAAGCCGTGCCCAAACCCGCCAGTGAATGCGAGGAGCTCGTGGAAATATCACACGTTCCGTCTCCCTGTGCGGCACACCTTCGTATTCTCTCTCCCTCTCCTCTATTTTTGGTTTTGCTGTTTTCCTCTTCTGGCTGTCTTGCAGCCCTCCTGCCTTCTTTTCACTAAACCGCAGCTTTCTCCCTCCCTTTTCTTCTTCTCTTCTCTTCTCTTCTCTTTTCCTCCTTAAACAGCGGGCCAGACCGCTGGACGGATAGTGGCCACACCAGTAAGCAGAGCGATTCGCTTCGCCATCTGCTCGCACCGGGCCGGACGCAGCGAACGACGACGATCGAATTATTCGGCTTCTGACGTTTTGTCCTTCTATTACTGCATATAAAATTGCTTGCAGATTCTCCGTCTGCGAATTTTTTACTGCACGCGTTACGTGGCGAGCTGCCGGATTGAGCTCATAGTCGAAGCGCTGTGGAAAAAAGAAGAAAAAAAAATAAACGCTTGCGGATTTCGTTCGCTCATGTCGATCTCACCTACCTAGATGCTTCCGTAACTAAAAGGCCTGTCAACCCCGAGCATCCGCCTGCATCGGCTTTTTTTTTCTGGCGCGCAACATCCTCGAACTTCATCGCATCTACTCGAATTCACTCGCCAAAGCCCGGTGTCTCTTCCTTTGAGAAAACCACCCCCGACGACATCTCCCCCTCGTGTCCCAGGCAGGCTTTCCCTCCACCATAGCCCAGCGATTTTACGATTCGCGTCTCCATAGCGCATTCCTACCGCTTTGTTCGTGCCTGTCTTTTTGAACAGGTGAAGTGCATCCCGCGCTGTCCCCTGAAAGACTCCGAGCGCTGCTTTGTGACCCAAGCCCGCCTTAATTTGGTTCAATCCCCCCAAAAGAGCCTTTCACGGCTTTCATCTGCTTGAACGCGTTTCCGGAGTGACAAAAGAAATTCCCCAAAAGGCGTATGTCATTTGTCTTACCGGTTCCCCCATCCATCTTGCCGGCTGCCACAAGTGGGCTGAGACATTGGTCCACCGTTGGACAGTTACAGCAACACACCATTATCTAGGCCATCGAATCCGCCAAGGCCCACGGCACAGTATTCCAGATCTCCCCAAATCTCAGCGTCTGATCCCATCTGCTCCATTATTTCCTCCGTGGTCGGCATGATTAGCTGAGACCTCGTGATAATCAGCTCATCAGCTTTCTGTTGAGGACCCCAGTTTAGTCGACATGATGAAGTCTACAAAAAACAACGAGAAGTGGAAATGGAGGTCGTCCACTGCAAGCACGACGGGATCTCTGTCTCCATACCAATATGCCACTGAATCGCCGGAGCCTGTTGTTGAAAGCAAAAAGTCTCGTTCCTTGTCCAAAGCCTTTCGCTCAATGAGTAGCTCTTCCCTAGATTCGATGTCTAGTGGTCCGTCTAGGTCTGGATCTTCAGCACGAAAGCTGCACAAGACGCCGTCTGGCTCAGGATCGATGATTGAAAGACTTCAGAGGAGGGTTTCCAGAGATTCTTCCATCAGCACCGCGCCTTCGGAAATTCCTGGTAGTCCCGTGGAACCCAGCTTTACGGCGATGGAAATGATTCGTTATGGATCGCTTAAGCCAGATTCTTCTCTACTTAAAGCTCGCTCTGAATATCTCGTCTTGACAGACCATTCTTTGGTGAAATTTGGAAGCGCGGAAGCTGCTAGGGTTGTCTTCCCGCAGTTAACTCAGACTGGAAGCCAAGGGAGAGGCGCTCAGTCTCACCATCTGCATGCTTTGAGCAGCAAATCTTCATACGCCGAGATTCGATACGATATTCCCCTTCGCTCCATCATTGCAGTTTTTAATGAAGAGTCCTCAAGCTCTCGATTTGGCATCGAGCTGTGGTGGTCCTCGAGATCGCCCAAGATTGCATCTTGTAAGGCGCATTTCTACTTCGCTCTTCCAAAGGAGAGAGACGACTGGTTGGCGGACATTCAACAGGCATACAAGGCCAGGATGAGAAAAAACCCGATCCATGTGACCGTTCCAGAGAATGTCAAGATCCGCATCAATCATACTGTGCAGCCAGCAGAGGCACCCGATGATCACCCCCCTCAGAGCTTGATCTTTCCGGTAACAAAGCGTTTCGTGACAGCAGCGCAAAAGGGGACAGCCGCGGATGAGTCTCAGGATATCATAGATACCGCGACCTACTATCTTGCTATTGGCCCCTATTTGTGTTATTTTATCGAGATCCTCAAGGCCGATTATTCGACACTACCAGGTGACCTGCGCTTGAAAACTTCACTATTTGGTACGGTATCTTTGACCCGTTTCCAAGCATCAGTAGCATCTCATGAGCAAAGATTCTCGATGAGTTTTCGGTAAGTTGCCATGTCTCAACTTCGCTTCGTCCCTTTGACTTGACTTGTTTCTAACGATGAAATGTGCACTGGCAGTATACCGTTCGGTCGAGAAACCCGCCTCGATCTAGCAAGCACTTACTATCGCCGGATTATCGAAGCGTTGACAAAGATTGATCGTGTTTTGAAACCCATGTGGCCCCAAAACCTCCAACACGCTATTTTCGAAATTAAGGGTCTCCCAGCACCTCTCCAGCTGACATCAGGAAACGATTTGGGCGGTCTTGAGATGAGTCTTCAGGCATATTGCGTCGCGTTTAATGTGCAAATCCCCGCCTGGACAATCGAATGGCCGACTCCGTCAGAGCCGGCTTTCCGACTGCTCGCCTCTGATGAGTTGGAATACTCGCCCCTTCAACTGCTTGCGGTTTTCCGGGCTTTGAGATACAATAGCTTCTTTAAAGCCGTCTCTTTTCGCGATGTAGCACTGACATCGCTTGCGAACAAGAGCGATTATTCGCAATATGGAGATACTGTGGTATACACATCTCTGAGTGGTATTTACATACCTAGTACTACGCTTGATCATTCGTGCCAAAGTTACTAACAGCACACTAGGCGTAAAAATACCAGATGACTACTACCAAATTCTTGTTCAAGCTACCATATTGGAACAAGAGATCCATGCTCTGTTGTTTTCATCTGAATCTATACGACACATTGATTTCACGAATACTGTTGGCCTACAACGCTCTAAGAGACCGCAAACAGGTAGGGGATCGATCAACCACACTACGATGCGTAAGATGAGCTCCGAGATCATTCGCCCCTTGTCGATGCTCCTCAAAACACAGTTGAGCCACTGTCATAGCATTTCCATGTCTGGCAACCCCATTGGCTCAAGCGACGTAGCTGAACTAGGTATGTGACTGCAAATGAGAAAAAGAAATGAAATCAATCTTTCCTTTGGCTGCGCAGCTACTGATTCTTGTCTTAGCCAATGTCTTTGGGCTGGATGATGTGCATTTGAAAAAAATTGATCTATCAAACTGTGGACTTGGGGACATTGATCTCAACAAACTGTGGTCTGGTCTTGCAGGCCAAGCTGAGACTATCGAATATATCGATACGTCAAATAACAGCGGGACTGTTGGCTTTGATACCCTCACTTATACCCTTCGACAACTCCGAAACATCAAGAAGCTCAACATATCAGGCAATACTAGGCTCGTCTCGGAAGAACCCCTCTTCGCTGAGGGTGCGCTACATAGCTGGGCTCTTCAGGAACTGGATCTTTCCGGTATAGTGGTAAGTGGATCGGAACAAACGTCGTTTCCATTCTGATGGCTAATCAATACCTGTAGCTCAACGATACTACTGTGATTTCTCTTGCAAGATATATGGAATCGCCAATGTCTCAAGGGCTGCAAGTGATGCGCCTTAACAATTGCGGTCTCACCGGAAGCCAAGTTGCGCAGCTTTTTTTTAGTATGGGCAAGGCTCGGCACATGACAGTTCATATAAATGCAAACCGGTTAGATGATGGTATTGGAAGCCTGTGCGATGCAATTGCTTCCGGCTATGGGCCCTGGAGTTTGTTCATGCAGATGATTGAATTCAGCTATGAGGATAGCTTTGTCAAGCTGATGAGGGCATTAACCATCAACAAGACGATCGAGTGCCTGAGCTTGGCTGGCTGCGCTACACCGGATGCTGTTAGCAGCGTAGCCTGCCAAGCTGCCTCAGACCTCTTCGCCAAGAACGAGACTATCCGCTTCTTGGATATATCTGGATACGACTCCAAGCTTGACGAAGGCCGGCTGGGCAGAGAATTCTCAAGATCATTAAGTGGCATGAAATTCAATAAGCGAATTGAGCACCTTCGTGTCAGAAGCCAGATGCTGAATATCAACATCGGAGACCTCGCAGAAGCTATCTCAGGCAATCAAACACTGCACACCCTGGATTGTGAGGGCAACGACTTCAACCTCTCTAATTTCTGGCATCTGGTGAAGCGTATTGAGGGTAATACGACGATCCGGCACTTCTCCGCATTCTCCGAGTCTGAACTTTCCAGGACAATACAGAAATCTGCCGAAGTCGATGTGCCGGTCGTTGCGCCGCGCCGCTCCTCGGGCATATTCAATAAGCTGAAGCATGAAAAGGCTCCAGTGATTGTAGAGAAGCCACTTGTTCAACGGCTGAGTGACGAGTGGGATGCTGCCATTAACGCTCTAAATAACGTTCTTGAGAGAAATCAAAAGATCTACCGCGACGAGCAGAGTCCTGCGAAGCTGGCCGACCAGGTACTGGAAACTTGCGAGATAGAAGAAGGCACATTTTCAGTTGACTTTGGAGGCCTTGCCAGCAAAGAATTTGAAGTCCATAATGCTGCGGGCTCTTCCCTTCGACGTGGACCCTCTACTACGAACCACGGCTCGGAAACGTTGAAAGTTATCGTGTCAGCGCCTTACTCGGGCGAAGATCCCAGTGACACAATCATGAGGCCTTATTCCATTGTCTCAAGCGACGGGGCTAGTAGCCCAACCTCTCAGGCCAGCTCTAATAGTGAAACGGGAATGCCAACACCTTCAGAGATGGAAAGCCCTCCGGATAAAGAGCCGGGGTGGGCCAACACACCGGTTGCGGGTGTGACCAGCAACGGGGCGCCTGAGGATAGCTTTTTGCCTTCCGAGGGTTACGATGCTGAGATAAGCTTACTGATGGGGAGATACCAAAGCCTCCTCGGCGATCCGACAGATCCCATTGAGGAGGAGGGCAGGTAATAAGAGGGGGGCGAGAAGGAAAAGCAAAGAAATGAATGAAAAGGGGGGGGGCCACCCCAGCGTTAGTATAAATTACAAGATATACGGCTTATTGAGATGATACAGGGGAAGGAAGCATAATTAGGGTGAAAAGAGATGAGGAGGCAGGTAGACAGCAGCGTGCTCAACCCCGGCGTTTTTGGGATGTTATTTGGATTGCCGGCTTGCTTGCTTGCCTTGCATTGCCTGATGGATTGGTTGATTGACTGATTGATTGATTGATTGATACCCCTTGCAGTTTGTCAGATTTAGTCCCATGCAGACTTTGAAGTATAGGGCCGGGAAGAGAGTTCGGAATATTTTTAGTCATGCTTAATGCAGTGCATATATTGCCCATAGCAATACCTCAAGCGACTGTCACGATACTGTAGTGTTGATGTCTATTTTGCATTTCTTCATTTTTTATTATGTATCTGTAGAAGTATCTATTTTTATACTTGCACCAGCTTGCATACCTACAAGGAGCTTCGTGCCCGGCTACGCGGTATAAAATGGGGTACGTACTGGCGTGAGGGGCAATTTCTTCGGCCTAGCCACGCAATTTCTCCAGCCCCAGCCTCAGCCCCCCAGCCCCAGCTTTCCAGCGGTCTCTCTGCAGACACTCGCTCGTGTACCTCGACAATCACGTACGTACCACTAGCAACGTTAGCATCTTTGCGGGAGTTGGCGCGAGCTTCGTCATCACCACTCTTGAGTCTTTTAGCCGTTCTTCTTTTTGTGTCTTTGTCGAACGCCTGCTTTCTTGCTTTGGAGCTTCATTCATTCGTTCTCTCGCTGTTCTCTCCTTTGTCTGCGTCCCGTTGAGCTGCGGAGCTCTCGCGCTCCTCCTTACTTCGTTTGAACCTCCTGAGGATAAGACCCGACATCCGAGCGTCCGGCTCGAGACAACAACCTCGCGATGTATTCCAACTCGAACGCCTTCTTGAACAGCGGCAACAGCCCTCGCCCGGGGACGCAGCCGCAGCAGCAGTATGGCGGCTCCTTTGGCAATCTCGCGCCTGGCCAGCAGCCGGGCCAGCAGCCAAGCCCCTTTGCGCCGCAGCCCACGGGCTTCGGACAGCAACCGCTGCAACAGCCATTGCAGCAGCAATACACCGGATATCCGTTGCAAGCTCAGCCAACCGGCTACCAGCAGTCGCCGCAGCCACTGCAGCAGCAGTATACGGGCTTCCCGGGACAAGGTCAACCGCAGCAGCAGTTCCAGACGTCGAGCGCCCCGCCAATGCCGTCGATTCCTCCCCAGTACCAGCAGCAGTACCAGCAGCAACAGCTACAACAGCCTCAACTCCAGCAGCAGGTGCCTCAGCAGACTGGATTCCCGGCTCCGCAGCCGCAGCAGCCGCAGCCCACGAGCTCGACCATCTCTCCTCCTCCTCCTCCGATAAAGCCGCAGCCAACTGGGTTCGCGGAAGTGGCAGCGTCTTTCCAGACCGGCGGCACGGCTAAGCCCCAGGGACGAAGAGCCGATAAATCAAAGACTAGGATTCCCAACATTAGACTATCTTTCATCACGGCCGCCGATCAAGCAAAGTTCGAGACGCTGTTCAAGTCTGCTGTGGGAGATGGCTCAGCAACCATGTCGGGAGAAAAGGCCAGAGACCTTTTGCTACGGTCTAAATTGGATGGCGATGCGCTGTCCCATATTTGGTAAGAGATATCTAACTCTATTCCTTCTTTCCAATTCTACCAAATGTACTACTATCAATGCCGGCAAACGACTAACAGAGGGCCATCCAGGACGTTGGCCGATACCACGCGAGCGGGACAGCTATACTTTCCCGAATTCGCCCTTGCCATGTACCTTTGCAACCTGAAGCTTACAGGCAAGACGTTGCCACCTACTCTGCCTGAGCACGTAAAGAATGAGGTTTCCAGCATGGTTGATATCATCAGCTTTGCGGTTCCGGACGAAGGCCCCGCGACAAGCCAAGCAAACGTGCCTACCATCGAGCAGCCCAAACCGCAACCGCCGCCGCCAGCATCAAACTCCCAGCTTCTCCAAGCGCAGATGACAGGCTTTCCCGGAGCGCAGCAGCATGGCTTTGGAGGCCAATCACAAGGCCTTCAGCCACAACCGACGGGTTTCGCTAACTTACAGAATCCCCAACCGACAGGATTTAACGGCCCTCTTCCTCCATTACCTCCTATGCCCACTGGATTTGGCGGACCTGGAGGCATGGCAGCACCACTGAATGCTCAACCCACGGGACGGCCTGGCCAATGGGGCCTTGTTAATGCTCCTGCAACTGGACTGCCTAACATTGACGCGCTGCAGGCTCGTATGATGCCTCAAGCGGGCCGCGAAGCTGGCTCTTACACTACTGCTGGTCTTCAGGGCAATGCAGTTATCCCATGGGCTATTACCAAAGAGGAAAAGACTAGATACGATGCCTTGTTCAAGGCTTGGGATGGTCTAAACAAGGGCTACATTGGCGGCGACCAAGCTATTGAGATCTTTGGCCAAAGTGGACTTGAGAAGCCTGATCTGGAGAGAGTTTGGACACTTGCCGACCACGGTAACAAAGGCAGACTGAATCTGGATGAATTCGCTGTTGCTATGCATTTGATTTACAGAAAGCTGAACGGATACCCCATGCCCAACGTTTTACCCGCAGAACTTGTTCCCCCTTCCACTCGCAACTTTAGCCAGTCCATTGGCACTCTGAAATCGCTGCTGCACGAAGAGTCTGACCATCGTAAGAACTCTGGCGCTGCGCTGCTACCGCAAAAGACTGGTGTCAGCTATATGAAGAATCGCTCATTCCGAGGAAGCCCTGCCCCTGCCGCAGGCGGACGCAAGGATGCCACAGTTTTCAGGAACGACGACGAGGATTTTGGCTACAGGTCTAGTGCTCGCCGAAGGCTTGGAGGGGCCAACTCGCCCCGGCCCGAATCCCCAGGAACGTCTTCTGTTGGATCCAATGATGATCTGACTCTCGATGAGCTAAGGAAGAAGATTAAGGAGAAGCAAATCTTGCTTGACGCTATGGATTTTGCTGATGAGAAGAACCATGAAGAGGATGACATTTTGGACCGACGCGATCGACGCGAGGCAGAGGAACTCTACCGCCGCATTCGACGCATTCAGGACGACATCGACGCGCATCCAGATGCCGCGCTGGCTGTTGGTAACTCCGATGCTGAGACAAGGGCTCTGAAGCGCCAGCTTCAAAAGCTCACAGACAGGGTCCCTGAACTTGCTTCGCAGGTACGAAAGACGGAGAAGGCCATCATGGAGGCTAGACTCGAGCTCTTCCGCCTCAAGGATGCCAAGGCTCACCCTGGCAGTGCATTAGCCATCGTGGGAACTGGTCCTGGCGGCGCAGTGACAGAGTCAGACCGACTCAAGGCCCGTGCAAAGGCTATGATGCAACAGAGAACTGCTGCCTTGACAGGTAAAAAGATTGAGACTGCTTCTGAAGACCTAGACGCTCCCAAGAGGCTTGAGGAAGAAAGCATCCGGGTCCGAAATGAGAAGGAGAGCAATGAGCGCATGGTCCATGATGTCGAGGATAGCGTCCGTGAATTCTCGCGAAGTATCGAGGATAGCCTTAACGATACTGGAAAGGATAACAGCAGCGAGCATGAGAGACGTCGCTGGGAGGATGCCCTCGGTGTCGAAGATGAGGTTCGAGACTTCATCTTTGATCTCCAGCGCGAGAGCCGTGCAGCTCGCATTCGAGCCCAGGACAAGCGCAATGCACGACCTTCAGCAGTGGACGAAGCTCCTCGAGAACGGGCTGCTCTGTCTCCTCAGCCAACTGAGAGCCCTGCTCCAACCTCGCGCACCGCCACTCCTTCTTCCACAGCTGGTGGCGGCTCATATTCTTCATACAAGACGCCAGAAGAGCGCGCTGCCTTCATTAAGCAGCAAGCTGAACAGCGCATGGCAGAGCGCCTTGCGGCGCTGGGTATCAAGGCACCATCCAAGCCTGGAGAGACTGCGGCTCAGCGCATAGAACGTGAAAGGTCTGAACGAGCCGCCAAATTGCGCCAAGCCGAAGAAGATGACGCTCGCCGAGAGGCTGAGCGACAAGCTCGACTTAACGAGGAGCAGGGTATTCCCCCTCCTGTCGTGGAAGAGTCACAGTCGGCTGCTAAGAAGCCTCCTCCACCTCCTTCAAGGAAGGGAGGAAAGGGTGATGGCGGTGAAGCAGCCGCGGCGAAGAAGGCGGAGGAAGATGCTGTGAAGGCCGCTGAGGAACAACGCCTCACCCGTGAGCATGAGCAGCAACAGCGGGAAAACGAACAGATGCAGTAAGTCTTTTGCTCTCTTACTTTTTCTTGTATATACATTATACGTTTTGGCGATAGACTGCTAACAATTACCTTGTAGGCAACAAGTCCAAGAGGAAGAGGACGAGTTTGCGGCAGAGCAGCGTGCAGCTGATGAACGTCTCAAGGCTCTGGAGGAACAGGTTAGACAGGGTAAACTACGAAAGGAAGAAGAGAAGAAGAAGAAGAAGGCGGCCTTGGCAGAAGCAAAGGAGAAGGAAGCCAAGTTAGCTGCTCGGCGTGCAGAGATGGAGGCTGCCAGGCAGCGTGAACTTGAACTGCAGCGCCAACTCGAAGCTATCGATGACGACAGCTCATCTTCATCTGATGAAGAGGAGAGCCGTGAACAAGCCACACCACCGGCGTCGACACCTACACCTGGAGGCAGCCAAGTTAGCAACCCAGAGCCCGAGAGGGTAAGCTCACCACCAGTTGCTGCTCCAGCGGCAGCCTCTCCTCCACCTGTTCCCACGGTGGTAACCTCTCCTCCTGCGGAGCCTGAGAGCAAGAACCCCTATTTCAAGATGATGTCGCAGTCTTCAGAAGCTTCCTCTCCAGCTGTGCCAAAGGAGGCTACACCAGCAGCTGATGTTTCCACCAATCCTTTCCACCGGATGACACAAGATATCAAAGCAGCCCCCGTCCCAACTCCCGCACCTGCTCAGCCTTGGTCTCGCAAACGAGCCGATTCTGATGACTGGGGCTCAGACAAGTCATCTGACGACGAAGATTCTGACGATGACCGGCCTGGCGCCGGCAATGCTGCCCAACTGGCGTCTATCCTGTTTGGTACCATGGCGCCGCCCAGGCCACTCTCCGCTGCTGGCAGAGACTCTTCTCCTTCCACGCCTGCTCCGGCAAACGATGCGGTAGTCTCCCCTCCGCCTCTACCAAGCGGAACTCCTGTTGGTGCTCCTCCGCCTCCACCTCCCCCGATGCCCGATGCTGGATCACCGCCGCCTCCACCCCCAATGGCTCCCATCGGAGGTCCTCCTCCTCCTCCGGCATTGCCCGGTGGAATCCCTCCTCCGCCCCCTCCTCCTCCTGGAGATGCTCCATCACTGCCGGCACCAGGTGGCCGCCCTGCTGGCTTTTTGGGAGAGATCCAGGCTGGAAGAGCTCTCAAGAAGACGACGACCAAGGACAAGAGTGCAGCCGCCGTCGCTGGCCGAGTTTTGGATTGAGACTGCTGACCGGCGGTTGAGAAAGGGACAGAATGCGATAGTGTCGTAATCGAGTAATTTTTTTATTTTTATTTGGAAGTTTGATGTTAGATATCATAGCAGAAGAAAAGGGGGAGAAGGTCAGGGCAGCGTGTACGTTTAGCACGAAAATGAACACATTGCTCTCAAATTTCTGTTTGACTTCGCATGAGATTTTTTTTGGTCATTTGGTGCTATTTTTATTCTTGTTTAATAAAAGCTAGTAATACCTATCATTAATATCGTCGTCGTGATTTGGTTATGTGACCCTCTGCGCCCCTTTTCTCTCTTTTTCTGTTTATAAATTCTACATATGCCATGATTTAGCTTTGATAGACCCCAGGCTCTCTCTTCGTAGGTCTAATATCAAACTCCATCTTTAGGTTCATTACGAGGCCTAAGACACTTGGACATTTACTTGGTGGTAACGAAACTTCCAAGACGGGATATTGGTCGGATTCTGCTTCTCTGCGAGCTGGCTATAGGGTGGGATTGACAAATCGAGAGGTGAGAGGTGACATGTTTCAGAGTTTCATATATATACATTGCACAAGCTACGGCCGTTGCATATACGATGATAGTGGCCACTGAAGTGGGCCAAGCCGTGATACCTGGCATTATACTGGTACATGCACATTGTGAAAGACTGTGTGATGAGCAGGGGATTGTAACACTGGTGCGGCATAAAGGCACACACAATGTGCAATGTTGCAGTAGTGACATGTTTTAGGTGATGTGGAAGTCCGAGCTCATGGTGCACGGTATGAACTACAAACGTCTGAGACAAACTCGACAGCTTTTTTTTTTTTTTTTTTTGTGAATTAGACCATGTACTCTGTTTTTTTGTCTCTCTCTTCTCCTTGCGGGCAGTAAGCAATCAGAGTGTCAATAATACGGAGAGAGCGAAGGAGCAGCGGCATGCAAGACTAGCTGATTGCGTTTGCTGAGGCGAGCAGTATTCTAGAATAGGTGCCATTATGATTGGGGTTGATGCTGAGAATGGAATTACAGGTGTACGCACAGCAGGGGCTTGCTCAATACATGGGCCTATTAATGCACGGAATAAATGAAAATAGCAACATCCTTGATAATGTAGCACGTATTACTGGGTCTTCTTCTTCTTCTTCTTCTTATTCCATATCCTTCTTTTTGCGCTTATAGATACAGGAATAGAAACAAGGGTTTCCCGGGGTGAGAAAAACGGATTGGGGGATTTTGACAAAGCTACCAAGGCATGCAAATACATACATGCATGCATGTATGAAGACGCAGGGATTGATAAACGCACGAGGATTGATGAAATTAAAGATATTCGGTGAACCGAGGAGAAGGATGCGCGGGTTCGGAGAACTAACCTTATTCTTACATAACTTTCAAAGCCCTTATGCAGGAAGAATGGGAAAAAGAAAGAGAATGGCGAGTTTCTCTACGGGCTGATGATAGCACTTGAGTCCTTTCGGGATTTTATGAAATTACAACAGTAAGCCAAGCCATACATGCGGCCCAATGCCATACACTGGATGTGGTAAATGCTACTACCTAGTATGTACTACTGCTGCTGCTGTTGGTGGTACCTATCTACTTGGGTACACGTGTAAGTGGCATGCAAGGTTCTCATCATCCTCTCTGACAGCAAGTGGCAAGCAAGGATGACAATGAATGCCTTGCATGGGTTCGTGCTCTGGCAATGGGCATTGCCGGCAGAGACTAGCTTCTTTTTTCCTTTTCCTTCTTTTATTCTAAGCAGATCACGGGCACATTGGAATGGAAAAGCCCTGAAAATCACCGCTTCAATGGGGTCAGGAGACGGCGAGGGAGAGACATTGTCTTCAGGGACAAACAACTTTGTCTGGTGTTTCAAACCCGAGCAAAGAGACAGAGACTAGTAGAAACCCCATTCCCCTCGGGCTTCTTCTGGGGGGACGGGATCGGGATCGTCGGAAGGGGGCCAGCTGGTGGCACAGCGTCTCCATTCAGATAATCATGGGAGTTGAAAAAGGGACAGAGAGTTACGAGGCAAGAGAGAATGAGATGCTGGTCTGTGGAATGGAGGGGCGGTGGAAAGACCAGGGCTGGGGTTCGCGCTCGAGCCAGCAGCTGACGCGTAGAGTGTTTAATCAGACCCGAGAAGAGAGAGAGAAAACTTCTCCGTCTTCCACGTTTCTCTTTCAGCTGGTCTTTTATCGATTGCGTAAAGACTTTGGCCCTTCCAACGCCAAGCGTCAATGCCAGAGGATGCTGCGGAGTATTAGTCGATGGCTAGAAACAAATAGCAGAGCCAGTAGTCGGCAATAGCTGGCGGTAGTCCGTCATGCTTCGCCTAGCGTGTTTGATGTAAATTACTGCCAGCGCAGCACAGCACTAGGAGCCGTATGTGGTACGATCTTGGCGATGGTGCGAAAAGGCAAAACTCAAGAGACGAGAGAGAGATCGAGAAACTGGAGGCATCGGGCACACGTCTTCAGGACGCTGTTGACTAGTCGGCAGAGCAAGTGGTGCCTCGTAAACAAGGGGAAATTGCCTGTGACGCCTGGGCTGCGTCATGGACAGCAGATCGCCGCCGACCATTGCCCCAACCGGGTCGTCTCCTTCATGCGCTTCCTCTCCAGCTTCAGCCCTTTGCGTCGTCTCCAGCTGCCGCTTCGGTCCTAAGCCTGTGCAAGTGCTATCGCGATAGAGGCGCTCTGGATGCGAGTTCTCGGAGGCTAAAGAGCAGCGGGCGGCACTAGTGGCCGGTGGACGGGCCGTGATTGGACGGACACGCGACAAAAGTAAACAGGGGGGCCAGACGCGTCTTGGGTTCGGTATGACGCGTTTTTTTAGCGACCATCCCACTTTGCTGGACTTATAAGCCCGAGTAAGACTCACCACAACTGAGTGAACGAGTGAGTGAGAGCAGAGCGAGCGTGAGTGAGTTGAGGGCGGCGGCCCAAGATGTCATGCATTCTCGTTGGGCTGCAGTGGAACCGCCATGTCTCTTGTCGATTCCTGGGCGCGTCCAATCAGCGGCGCTGCTGTGCCGGCTCGCCCCTCTGCATCCCTCTCTATCGCCGGCTTGTCTTCAGATAATGCCCTTCACATGCCGTGCTGGCCGGGGTACGTATCCCAAGCAGGCGAATCAGGGACAGGGTTGCGATCGAATTCGCGGAGAGCCTATCACTACGTATCACCGGGCCCCCGTTTGCGGCCTCCGTCCGGCGGGTGCTGTGGATGAATTGAAGAGCCAATTGCCCTCGAGAGCGGCCATCAGCTGAGAGGGCTACGCGTTGTTGTACTCCATAATTCAAGTCGCGTAGACTGTCAGATGGTGGTCATCTGAGTTTCTGTATACTTGGTAGGTATCCGTATGCAATCAGTGCAAGTGGCAGAAATGGCAATGGCTTGACATGGGTTGAGGCTGTTTATAGAAACAGCCAGGATGAGAAAAGAAAGATGAGATAAAAAATGGAGAGTGTGAGCTGTGCATGCGTGGGGGAGAGCTTTCGTGAAGATAATGGAGGGGGGGAAGAGTCTATTCGCCGTATGGAGGGGTCAATATTGGAGGGGAGAAGAGGGACGAAAGGGAACAAGAGTCAGAAGGGCAGCAGAAACACGAGAAACTGGGCCAGGGCAGGATAGAGTTTGCGGTTGAAACGCAGCAGAATCGACAGCGGTACCTGCTTCTCGGCAAACTCTCTTTAAGCTCGCCGCTGTGGCTTGGACGAACGATTTGAGACATCTGACGGATTGCACGCCAAAGGGACGAAGAAGAAAACTCTGTCCCGAGCGTTATACGTAAATGGAGTATCCGGGCTGATAATTTAGCCATGCAGTGAAGACGATGACGGATGGTCGATGGCTTAGGAAGAGGCTAAAAGTGTTTAGTCGAGAAAGAAGAGCAACGACAGCTGAACTGTGATTAGGATGCTCGGGATGTCCGTTCCTTATTCTTCCGGGGAGGGCCCTGGCATCCAGAATAGTGGTGTAGTAGCGGTATTAGGATCCATATCAATACTACTACATACTTACTACTATGGCTAGCACATGCTTTGTACGACTCGATCGCCATACGGCAGTAGTCGGTATTATTGGACTAGATTAGCTGGAGCTGCCCGTTGATACTAGTTTGGTAAGTATGCGCCACGGTGATATTCACTTACATAGGTACATAGGTAGGTACTTTATAGCTTTATAGTAGCACCACTACTAGTAGGTACCTAGGTTAGTATATGCCACCCATCTCCGAATTGGCGATGGGTGTGTGTGGTGGGATTATCGCAAAGTCCATTCTGCCATTTTCCGATAGATTCAGTATTTACATCGTATATACCTACTCCATGCTGCTGCCTTATGACTATGCATACTCGGCCGCGGGCGGGAAATCAATGCAGCAGTGCTCCGTAAAATTGGATCAGACAGCTCGACTCTCGCCAATTGCTGCGCTCAACGCCCGCGCATGCTTGCATGCAACATGCAGGCCAATGCCCAGTAGAATGGCTTGCTTTCTTGTTTATCGATGCAGGTGGGATTCGTGATGCAACAGATGGCCTCGGACAGGTCGCATGGCAACCGCAATGGTTGTCGTGATGACGACGGCCATGGCGAATAATAAGAGGCGCTGGACGCATGGATGCATTCAAAAGGGACTTGATGCTCTCATCTTGCGTCCATCTCTTGCGCCCTATCCCATCTCTCAAGTGCCGTCTCCGAGTCTCTCGCACGCCGGACGAGACGCAAACCGCTCACACCCTCACGCCCGCATATCTCGCAACCTTGCCTGGCTATCCATCCATCCACATCCACTTACACATACCATACCATACACGATACACACGTACATAGGTACACTGCACAAACCATAGGTACCTACCTACTACTGTAGCACCTCCATGTACGTACTACTACTGCTGCTATTACTTGCTGCGGCCTTGTATGCCTGGTGTTCTATCTGGCCAGACGATGCTGCTTGCATCGCACCACATCGCATACACGACATGGTATCGCATGGCATGGCATCGCATCGCCCAAATCTACCGGCACTTTACTTACATGCTTCTGGCGCATGTAATGCAGCCGTCACTTACAGGCTCCCTGCTCCGCTCTGGCACAGCCCTAGTCGATTCGAGACAGCACCATCGATCGATCGTCGAGCCACGCAGAAGGCGCTGCTGCACGTAAAAGACAAGCCCAAGCGTCGAAAAGAGCCGTTGCATTCTGCATTGCATTCCCCAAGACACGCCCCCTTTGGTTCGCCTGTTCGCACACAAGAGAGAGAGAGAGAGAGAGAGGAAAAAAAAAGTATCTCTTGGTCTTAGGTCTGGCCTGTTGCCGAGAACGCGCGACACGCCCTCGAGTCCAGCCCGTTCCGTGTGAAGGAGGGGCTCTTCAACCACTAATACGGCGACCACTGCCACCCTCACGTTTGTAGACACTGACCAGCGCCGGTACCTGTCTTGTACCTACTCCTGTCTTGTACCGGCCCTGCCCTTGCAGCACCTCTCTCGCAGTCTCTCCTGCTGCACGACTTGCACCGCCCTGCAGCTGTAACTACCTGCCAACTACCCAAGGCACGACCCGCTGCGACTCATCGCGCCATTCAACTGCAGAAAACCACATCTGCCTCTCCAGCTGCGCGGCGCTGCCTCACCTCCCATCACCGAAGCCATCCACGGGTACAGGCTGCCGCTGGCCACTTGGGGCTTGGCGCGCTCTGCTAGTTCCGGGCTGGAGAAGCAAGATTTCTGCACTCCAACTCCCTGCCCCGGTCGCTCGTGTCAGCCTAGACGGCTCTGCAGCCAATCCGCGGCGCGGCGCATCCCTGACGCGCTGGGCTTTGCACCGCCAGGGATCCCCCCTGGTCGCCGATCCACTCGGGCCTGTTCCAAGGACCCAAAGGTTTGTGCTGTGCTGTGCTGGCGCCGCTGCCCTTGGGCTTGTGCTTGTCTTTGTTCTCCCTTCCAGCGATACTGGTGAGTGCATGCATTCCCTATTACAGCGCCCGTCTCCCCTCGTCTGGCTCGTCTTTCCTTTCCATCTCTTCCATCCCACCTCTAATTGCGCCTCTCTGACAGCTGCCCGCTCTTGCGCTGCCTTTCTGAGCCGGTTCCCCGCGCCCAGAAGAATAAACACACGAATCCGACCCAACGCGACGCTCATCCTGATTTCGCACCTGCTCACTCACCCGCCGCTTCTTCCGAGCTGAAGAATCGAAAGTCTCTAGAATTCTCATAAATTTCGTCTGCGGGTCCGAATCGGCTCGCCCGTCCAGCATCCCATTGACAGCCGAAAAAGCACAAAAAGGCACCAGTAAAAGCCCCGTCAGGGCCGTGACTCCCCCCGAGCCTTCCTTGTATCTGCCGCCCCACCGCGCCTGCGAGTGACGGTGACCTCAGCGAGGTGAGCACAAAATCTCCCGTGGTTGAAATCTCTCCTCCTGTTCCTCTGCGTCGTCGGCTTTCCTTTAATTGCCCTCAGCCCTCCCGGAGCCTTGCGATGCGTCCATGCCCTTCGCCGCAAACGGCGTCGCGTCCTTTTCCCTTGTAGCCTCGGCTGACTAGCGCGCCTAGACGCTTCACGGCGATTCACGCACAACTTACTCCACAGCTAAAGAGCCTCACGTCGAGGCACTTGCACCGGCCGCAATGGCCCAGCCGACGCGTTTTTACGCCTCTTCCAGGCCACTGGACGTTTTCAATGACGATGCATTCTTCGACAACGAAGCTCCCATGACCAGCCACGCTCCCATGCCAAATCCCACCAAGCCCATGCGCCGTCCCCTGGGCAATTCAACTCCCAATGTCATTCTTGAACCAGCAGTCTCTCACAGCTCCAAATTTTCACCTTACAAGGCCAAGACCCCGAGGGCGCCGCTGAAGCCGTCGCACGGCCTCAACAAATTCAACGGCATATCCATGGCTCCTCCTACAGACAAGACGCCAGTGACCGATTCACTACAGAAGAAGCCCCAGTTGTCCAACTTTAAGACGGGTTTACAAAAGCCCCAGCTCACCGATCCCAATGCCTTTTTCGAGAAAGAAAACGTCCATCCTCAAATCTTCCCAGGACCGCCTACTATCGACCTCTCTGTAGAGCAGTACTTCCAGAACCCCCCCGGGAAAAAGGGACTCATGGAGGCCGCGCCCATCAAGGAATCTCGAGTCACAAAGAAACCCAAGGCTGATGAGCAGTCGTCGCTACCACCTCACGACTCATTCCCCCCCATCACCGACGACGGCACGAAACCGCCTCACAGCTACGCTCAACTCATTGGAATGGCCATTCTCCGCTCTTCAAAACGCCGCCTCACGCTTGCTCAGATCTACAAATGGATCAGCGATAACTACTCGTTTTACAACCCCAATGACGCCGGATGGCAGAATAGCATTCGACATAACCTGAGCCTTCACAAGAACTTTATCAAGATCGAACGACCAAAGGACGACCCTGGCAAGGGAAACTACTGGGGCATTGAACCCGGCACTGAATTCCAGTTCCTCAAGGAAAAGCCGACTCGGAAATCTGTCCCGACTGGAGAGAACCTCCCTGTCATGTCCACCCGCCTCGAACCATCTCGACCAACGCCAGCACTAATGCCCGAGCCCTCGCTTCCACCTCCGGCCCCAATGCATCACCAGCATCATCACCAGCACGTCAACGGCCTTCCTCCTCTTCCGACGTCTCAGGCAACCTTGTCATTGCCTCTGGAGCCGTCATCAGATGCTACCATTCTCGTATCGGACAATGCGCCTGCTGATGACCTGGCCGACAAGGGTCCTGACAACGAACTACCACTGGAATCATCCTTCTTCTCACCCCTACCTGCTGCTTTGCATTCCACCCCACCCGTGCCCCGGGCAGAGCGACGGAATGGCACACCGCCTCCCATGAACCGCAATCCTGCCTCATCCGCTACTCGAACTCATAAGCGCAAATTCGCATCCATGGATGACAGTGGCTACATCTCCTCCCTAGAATCATCTGCAATGCGACCGAATGCGGCCAGGTCAGCTTTCTTTACATCTGAACCTGATCGACGTCGCATCAAACGTGGTCGCGCCGAGGAGGAGATTGCACGACTACGAGGATCATCACCTTTCAGCCCGACCAAGAGCCGGCCATTCTCCAGCTATGGACTTAACTCATCATCGCCTTTCCGACAGTCTAGCGACAATCAGATGCCCCCTCCTTTAACCCCTGTCGTTAAAAAGGTCAAGGCCATTATCCAAGCACCACCTTCAGTTTCTCCCAACACCAACCTACGCATTCACCGCGCCAAAGTTCGCCACATGCTGCAGTCTCCTTTGCGGAGAGTGGCCAACCTTACCAACGACGACAGCTTACCTTGGAGCCCCGCTTTTCGCCTAGACGACAACATCTTTAGCTTTGATACGCCCAATGCCAGCAATCTGCCCGATTTCGACATCTTCCAAGATCTGCCAGTGGATGATGAGAATGTGTTTGACAGCCTCGGCCCAGCAGATACTGGTTCACCCGTTAAACGATCTGTTAAGCGCGCTCGCCTTGATCGGTCTATTTCCTCGTCAGCCATCGGAGAGATGTCAGCTTCTAAGAAGCTTCTCGCATCAGCGCCTCTGCTCAAAGCTCCTGATACGCCATCTCAATTTCTGGAAACACCGAGCAAGGTCTTTGAGGGCCTAAGCTCTCCCTCCAAGCTCTTTCAAGAATCGCCCATCAGGGGTGCTTCACCAAGCAAATTTGCTTCCTTGCTTGAGCTCCCAGGTGATGGCGACTGGCCATCTCTTCACATGGATCCTAATGACTTTGCTCCGGGCGCCGGTTCTGATGGGTCAGATTTTACTGGTCTTGATATCCTTCAAGGTTTCGAGAGAATTGGATCAGGCTCACAGCAGCCATCTAAAGGCGTTAACAAGAGTGCAAAACCTGCACTCGGTCGAAGCTTTTCAACAACATTCTAAAAAAAAGGGGGGGGGGGCTTACAACCAAAATTTGGCGTTTACGAAGGGGAGAATGATTACGATACCTTTTTTTTAATGACATAATGAAGACAGAAGAAGAAACGCCACAAAATAAGAACGACCAACTGTTCTTTTCCTTCTTGCATGTCTACCTTATTTTATATCATGAGCAAAGCTTCTTCCACACGACTACAACGATGATTACTGGTGTTTTGACGCAGAGCGAGGTTGAATTTTAGATACGACGGGGTTCGCAATTCTGCGTGCAAAATCCCACCCCCCCTTTGGGCTTCACGGCTTGCTTCTTACGGGTAACGATGATTCTGAGTACATAGTATACCATTCTTTCTTTTCTTGTTCACTCTCCTTATTTTTTGCGGCATTGGAATACGACTACAGCTGATTCCAGGACATGGAATTGCTTGGCTTAGCTGGTATGGCTTGAACTTGGGACTTGGTTTATTGCAAAAGGGTTTGAGGTCTTGTTTATTTTTTTCCCCTTATTTTTTTTATTCCCTTTTTGATCGACTCTACTTCTTCTACGTCTTGTTTCTTCCTTTCTTTCTTCTTTTTCTTATCGGACTATGGGTTGGAAGCATGGAGTCTGGATTTCACAGCATGTCGCGTACGCGCGTATGTAACCTAAGGGAAACTGGGTATCAAAGGGAGGTTTTTTGTGAGAGACCTTGACTGGCTCGTGTTTGTATTTTTTTTTTTTTTTTGTTTTAGTCTATCTTATTTGTTTTACTTTATTCTCTTATGGAACAGGGTTAGGACCGGATTGTCAACTTCTGGGATTTCTTCTGCCTTTACATGATAAGCTGTGTTGTCTACTTTTTAGTTTGCCTCGTTAACTTCTTTTCAACTTCTTTTGCTTTTGGTAAACGAAAAGGATTGGCTTTCTGTAGCAACTTCAATTCAGCTATTTGCTTCAACTTTGATGATTTGCACCAGCTCTGTGGTGGTGTGATAGCAATTGTAGAGCTACCTGGGTAATTATGAGTAAGGGCTACCTGTCGTAGGGTATCCAGAGGCCTCTAATCGAAAGCCACGTTAGCCAGCTTGGGAAAGCTTGCTCTGTATACTTTCAATCTCATGGGCGTGAATATGTGTGTGCTGGTTGTGCGAGCGCGTGTGAGCTAGGGGGTATCTATTACCTTCGTCATACCGTAATTAAATAAATTCAAAATCCATTTCATCTCCCATCCAGGTACCCCAAAACGCCCATGTAGAACGCCTATATACAGTTTCGTCTCCTTGAGAACGAAGGCCCTCTATCGGGCGCACACGCCGGTTTCCCCTCCCTCCAAGTCTATTAGGTTAAACCTTTATTCAGTCATTGTTATCGTAGTTGTTGGGTTTTAATTTGAGCTATCGCCAAGGAGCGATGATAGATTGAAGTCGTAAATGTCGTTGCGTTTGCGTTGGCGGATAAATAAATGAATGAGCGATAGGAAGCGGCGACTCCAGTCTGGTATAAAGAAAATGAAGCCAGATTTCAGTACATTCGTATACGAGAGAGCCAACTCGTTTCCTTAGACTCGACGTTGATCTTGTAGGGAAAGGGATTGCCGCCTTGGGCTGTGATGGGCGGGATATGGTCTCTGTGGGTGTTGACGAAGGTGACAATTTTCATGGCGGTGGTGAAGAGGGTCTGCTCCATGGCTCTACGAACTTTTGCTCGTTCTACCGTTTTAAAAAGTTAGTGTCAGCTGTTATAGATGTAGTTGGAGCTTAATCCAAATGAGCATCATATTCATACCATTTTCAGTTCTCGGTTCGGCAACAGTCACTTTGATCGTCCAAGTCTCCCAGCAGACCTCCTCCACTCCCAGTGACGGCCACGGCTTGCGTCTTTTCTGGTCGAAGAACTGGACGGTGATTTGGCCTCTTCCTCCGCTACCGGCGCCGTTTATTCTGTCTCCCTTTGTTGGTGCGCCCGAGTTGGACAATCGATCTGCGTCGAGTTGGCGATCTAGTGCGGAGACGCGCTGCTCGATCATAGTCTGGAGTTCATCGTCATTGACGTAGGGCAGAGTGACATCCAGCACTTCATGCGTTTGCGGGGTGAGAGAGGGGAAGAATCGGTTGAAGAAGATGGTATGTAGTATGCCTGTGGGTTTTGCGCAAATCCTGTCAGCCTGGGGAGATTGATGATTATTTGATGCGACGCTTTGCAAGAACCAATTAGTTACCTTTAACGACGTCGCGGACAGATCGAGGATCCGTGAAGACGTCCAATATGAATTCCGGGGGCTTCTGCGAATCCATTTCTTCTTTTCCAGAGGAAGGCAAAGGCAGCCGTTGCTGGGTTACTTTGTCGCTGGTTCAAAAAAAAGGAAGGCCGAAAAGGGAAAGTAGTAAAATTTTTCCCTTTGTCTCTCGATTTCGCTCACTTGCGCGCTTCTTTTTGTATAAGATGTTCAATTATATATCACCACCAGTGGAAAGCGTCGATGAAGAAGAAATGGATTGGCCAGTGTTATCTAGTCTGTTCTGCGAAGAGGCGCATTGCTGATGTTTAAGCCACGGTCTCGGGGTCTTGTTTGAGTCAAAAAACAAGGTTGAGAGTCGTCAGCAGGAGCGCGAGTCACCAGACCAGATCTCGAGGCTTTAGCGACGCGAGGCGGTGGTTTCTGTTGGAGATTGGGGATCCCGACGGGACCGTGGCGCCTAGAAGCGGATAGACAAGGAGGCCGTCTCGTTGAGCGCAGCTGGTGCAGGGAGCGACGCAAAAGGGAGGAGGCGAATAATTGTCAGATGCGACAGGAGTGAAGAAGCTCAGATAAAATTGTGCCGCAAATATGCAGGCTGGGATGCTGGAAGCGAATTGAAGCGAGGGGGTGGGGGATGGCAGGAGAGGGGCAAGAAATACAGCGTGGATCGACCAGTAACGTCACCGGCTTTGGCACTCAGGATGCTTATTTACTGGGCTGGTTGCGGCAACGATAAGCGATAAGGCAGAGCGCTGAAGGAGGTCTCTTTGGCGCTGTGCAGCGCAGTGCACTCCATACCGTAGTAGGTACCTACCTTGGCAGCACGCAACGACTGTCAGGCCATGTATCGTGTTGAGCATGATGCTGCCTGCCAGCAATCTCTATGAAGCCCTGAACAATATAGCAGCTAATTTTCGATTGTTCCCCGCGACAATGGCCACAGTCCATTTGATCATATGACATCGATCTGTCCGTCCACAGCGTCTCTGTACGAAGTAATACATTCTGTATATGCCAAATCGATGCCCCCAAGTTATTAGAGATTACCCGCGCCTAAGCATGTGCCACAGCTTAGCAGGGCGCTATAGCAGGCATGGAATCGTGGCAGCGCCTTGCGAGCATTAGCGGTTTAGTGCATGCATGCCTGTGCAGTCCACCGGGAAAAGGCACTAGCAGCCGTAGGCTTAGTAACGAGTACTCGCCATATACAGGCAACCTTGCGCCGCTCACGGCTTGCGCAGCCGTACTCGCCGCGTACTCCCTCTCTTGTACCTACATCTCAGCCGAAAGAAGGCCAATTAGCGGCCCTGCTCCTGCAACCGAGGCATCCCGGGAAACGCTGAGCTCCCAAGTTTCCATCTCGAAACATCCACCATCGCGACTTGACAACCGAGTTTGCCGTCTTGCGTGCTTGCGAGCTTCGTGCGACGTGCCATTCCCTGCCGTGCTCGCATCCCAGAGCCTGCTTTCGCCGTCTCCTCTCTCTGCCCAGCATTCGACTGAACACATGTGTTTGCATTGCCAATCCATGACCTCCTAACACGACCCGACCTGTGCAGCGCTGCCCAACATGCTCTCTTCAGCCCGGCGCTGGGTGCGTCGCAACCGGACACCAATTGCCATCGGCGTTGGTGTTCTTGGTGCTGGCTATGCCGTGACGCAGTATGTGATGGCCAAGATCAACGATGCGCGCGAGCGGATGAGCAGCGATCGCATCGCCAAAGAAAAGTAAGTCGGCTTTGCTTGTCCGAGAAGGCGATTGCCTGGCTCTACGTGGCTAACGCGGCATTATCAACTCTCCAGCCTTCGCCGTCGATTCGAGCAGAACCAGGAAGACTGTACTTATACCGTCCTGGCTCTCCTGCCTACCGCCACAGGCAACGTGATTACGGCTTTGAATACGGAGCAGATCACGTACGAGATTCAGCAGATCAAGAGCTCGGCGAGGAGCCTAAAGGGCATCCAGACAACAAGCCCGCCCAGTATTGCCGATACCACTCTCACCGAAGATGATAGCAAGAGCACTATCAGCGTGCCGGTTGATGTCGGGATGCCCTTTACTTCAGATGGTACCCAGCAAGAGCTGGCTCCTCCCAGGCCGCGAAAGACCAAGAGGCAGCTTTGGGATGACTTAACCATCAGCGGTACGCAATCTCCTCTATTTTTGCCTCATGCATACGTAGGAAGAGGAAGAGAAAACTGACGGTGCTTGGAAATACAGCCATTACGAGATCATTCACCCTAATTTACACGCTCGCCCTCCTCACCATGCTGACAAGAGTTCAACTGAACCTTCTCGGCCGGCGCAGCTACTTATCCAGTGTTGTTGCTCTCGCTACTGGGAGCCAACAGGCCACCATCAGCCTTGAGAACAATGACGACGACAGTCCCAACCCGCATGGTAGTGATTTCGACACAAATCGCAAGTATCTAACCTTCAGCTGGTGGTTGCTGAACAAGGGGTGGGTGGACGTCATGCACCGCGTAGAAAGCTCTGTGCGGACAGTCTTTGGCAGTCTCAGCCCTCGAGATCTAGTTACCTTCGACAGGGTCTCTCAACTGACTGCAGAGGTGAGAAAGTTGATTGAAGGCTCTAGCTCTAATAACAATAAGGGCTCGGATTGGCTTTCTTTCCTCCTACCTCCCAAGGATAAAGAGGATGAGGTTCTCCGTCAGTCTGGCGTCTTAGATGATGCTGGCTTATCTCCCGAGGATGGCGCCCAACCATCTCCTGCCGCTCTAAGACGTTTGCTTGACGAGACTGCTGATCTAATCGAATCACCAGCCTTTTCACACGTCTTGACACTGGTTCTCAACTCAGGCTTCTCACTGCTGGTGGACAAGAAGCTAGCCACTGAGGCTTTCGAGTTCTCTTTGGACGAGGCTCCCACCACGGTAGCAACGACAACCAGCCTCAAGCGCACTAGAGCTATTCTGTTGCCCAAGATCTTATCTGTCCTAACCCGACAAGCTCACGTCATTGGCAACGGCAATACGCCCAATGAGTACCTCCAGGAAATGGAGACGGTGCGCGATCTCGAGGCTTTCTCTGCTGTCGTATACTCCAGCAACTGGGAGAATGAGATGAAGGACGAGGGACTCATGGAGAGTGCCGTATATGTCAAGTCTGAAGACACCCAGTCTCAGTCAACTCAGGTCGGTAGCAGTGTTATCATTGTTGAGCCTCAAGCTAGTAGCTTGGAGGGTGCATGGGAGAGAGCGACGGCAGGAGAGAAGAAATCTTGAAGCAGAAGAAACATTTATCCACAATATGCATATTTGTATAGTAAAGAGTAAAGATTTGATGCATTCTACAGGCTTGTTTCACTTTTGGAAAGGCAGGGCAGACGGGTATAAAGATTTAATGGCTTTTTGTTTCTTTTTGTTCTTTACTTTTTTTTTTCTTCCTCTCTCTTTCTCTTGGATAGTACTATGATGTTGGCGGACTAGCAGACAGCATATAACGATATATCCTACATTCTCCTCGGCGCTCAGAGGTTCATTTCAGCGCTTGATCTTCTCTAAACGTTGCCTCTCGTGTAAACTTGTCTCATAGATCCCATGGCCTCATTACAAATTGGTCTATCCCGGTGCCACAGCTCGTAGATCCAATATCCGAGCTGCCAGTGGGGGCTGCTGAATGGCCCATCCCCACAAATGCCTCGTCGGTTTGAATATCTTCTTGCAGCTAGAATCCGTAGAGTCCTTAGCCCTAGGAGATGGCCGTGGGACGAGTCAGGGTTATGAGAGCGTCCATGAGCGTCAGGCAGACGCCGTCATTGCTGTTGCCGGTAATTCCTTGTTTCCACTTTTGTATATCTCATTCGACTCGTAAAATCGTCACAGTGATTCGTAAGTTCACATCATGCCCCTTATGAACTGATCCAGCCCTCGCTCAAAGAGTTCGTTTTTTATGCCGGCGCCTCCCTTGTGTTCGACTGGTGCAAGCGGGTTCTTGACCACTATTGTTTTTTTTTGCACATTAGCCGCTTCGTTCTCCATCAAGAGGGGGTAATCGCTTCCTAGCTTTTAAAAAAAGAGTTCGAAAAGGGGATATGACCACATACCATATTCCACCCATAGGTTGATATAAATCTGATGCAGCACATTCCGCATGCTTGCCGACGCGGTATCCGTTATCATGACAAAGCGAAGGTTGGCGGGCGTCTCGTAGAAATGAAGCTTGTACTGGCCCGTTCGGTAGCTGATGAAGGCATCGTCGTCGCCGCCGAGCTTGCGAGCCATGTTGCGGAGGGAAAAGACGGTTCCGAAGACGAGCTTGGCGTCATCAGAGCCAGCAGATATGGCGGGCGCGGGGGAGGCCCCGGCGGCTTGTGTCGGCGGTGTCCATGATTTGACGTAGACGCATTCAGCTGGAGGGAAGCAAATCAGATCAGATGTTCGCGTGCGTCGCAGGGAGGGGAGGAGATGCGAGGGAGTGACCTACTGTGGCGGTCGAAGATGTAGAACGTGTAGACGGCCATTGTGAGCAGCTTGCGCGTGCGGCGTGGATCGGGCTCGGATGGTGGCCGCGACTCGGTAGGGGCGTCCAGATGCTGCACGCGACAGATCAATGAGCTGGCTTCAAGAAGAGACGCTGTCGTCGTCACAGGACGAGCGAGCTCCAACAGGTACGATTGGTTGCGAGACGTGGTGTTTGTCGATCAAGGGGCGCCTCGGTTATCTAATCCAGCGACAGGCTGACCTGGAGCTAGCAGGCGCCCCCCCGCGGGTTGGCGGGGCATGATGGCCTGTAGGAGCCCACTATAAAGGGCTGCTAATAGTGGGCAGAGAGCTTCATGTTGTCATTACCCGAATACCTACTTTGCACTGACTGACTTGTGAAATAATTTCAGTAGTAAGAAATAAAAGAGGTTGGGATGAAATAAAAGCCAAAACAGGACTTCTATCAAGATGTCAAGTATTACAGTAGTCCGCTAGCACAGCTCGGGATTCGCTGATGATGGACCTAAAGGATTGGGCAGAGCCAACTACCTACTTATTCGTAATGAGTCTCCTGAATATCTACAGCCTAGTGTAAAAGGGTCATATGGAATCTGTAAATAGCACTATTCTAGCCAATCAAGATCGTGAATCTCCGGCACTCTCTGTATTGGATACATGCCAACAGTCAGTCTATTTGTAGACATGGCCACAGCGGTTGAGGCGATGCATCAGCATGTGCCAATTAACGCACAGGCGTCTAAACGCCTGCCTGTCAGAGGAAAAAACTCCAGCTCCAGTGCCCCGCTTTATAGCAGGATGCCAATGCAGCTACCGCTTATAACCCCTCCAATGGTTGGCTCAGAGCCGCTCGTTTTGTTTTCAGCCTCACGCCGTGTTTTAGCAGCCCTGGCGAATTTCTTCTGCCTGTGCAGCTTGAACTTGGGAGCTGGGCGTGTTGCTGGCTCCTTCATCTATCTTGCGCGCATTTCGATTTCACCTGGCGTGAGCCTCTGAAGCCTCGCCCAAGCACACGCTACACAGCATCTCATAGCTCTTCCTCTTTTCGAGCTCCAGCCAAGAGCTGCGCCCTCCACCATCATGGAGACGCCTCCGCAGTCGCCCGGCGGCTCGAAATCAGATCCTCTCTATGGTCTTCAGTCGCCTAGACTCACTGTTAACGGTCGCGACGATGTCGCTGACGATGCTCGGCCATCTTTGGCGTCTACCATGTAGGTGATTGTGGTTCCAGAAGTCACTCTTCCAAGATAGAAAGAGGAAGAGCAGGACCAGCCTCGTTTGTCTCTACATGGTCGAGGCGGGCGCTGATCTTTTTCCTGCTTTAGTTCTGAGCCTATTCGTCTACAAGGCTTCGCAAGCCCTATCAGACAGCATAAACGCACTCCAAGCGCTCATCGCGAAATCAAGGTTAGCTTTTTTCCAGCCCATGGAAGTGAGAGTGAGAGCTAATCTCTCCGGTAGGAAACTTTGGACGCACACGTCGAGTTCTCCAACGATGAAACGGATGGTCGAACCCATCATAGAATAAACCAGTATGTGATTCAGGAAGAAATCGGCCGCGGTTCTTACGGCGCTGTCCATCTCGCGACAGATCAGTTCGGAACTGAGTTTGTATGTTTCCTTATGTCAGGCATTTGCCATTTTCCCCTTTCTAAGAGGATTTACTTACGTCGATATCTACAGGCTATTAAAGAATTCTCCAAGGTCCGCCTGCGGAGGCGCGCACAGTCCATCGCTATGCGTCAAGGCCCTGGAGGACCGCAAAGACGTATGCCTGGTAGAGGAGGCGCCATGTCTCCTCGTCTAAATGGGCTACGAGACAGTGAGAGAAGCGATGCCTTATTCTACATTCGAGAAGAGATTGCCATTATGAAGAAACTCAACCACCCCAATTTGGCTCAACTTATCGAGGTGCTCGATGACCCGGATGAAGATTCTCTGTACATAGTCATGGAGATGTGCAAAAAGGGGGTCATCATGAAAGTCGGCCTGGGCGAGCAAGCAGATCCCTATCCTGAAGAGGAGTGCAGGTTTTGGTTCCGGGATTTGATTTTGGGCATTGAATACTGTAAGTCAAACATGGGAATGCATGTTAACCACATAGCTGTCTCTAACATGGTAATAGTACATGCTCAAGGAGTTATTCATCGCGATATCAAGCCAGACAATCTCTTATTATCTGAAGACGACGTTCTAAAAGTTGTCGACTTTGGCGTCTCAGAAATGTTTTCAAAGGGAAACAATATGAGGACGTCCAAATCCGCTGGGTCTCCAGCCTTTTTGCCCCCCGAACTATGCAGCAAGCATAACGAAGTTTCTGGAACGGCTGCAGACATCTGGTCTATGGGTATTACCCTCTATTGCCTTAAATATGGCAAGATACCGTTCAACAAGGAGGCCATACTTGAGATTTACGAGGCTATTAAGACAGAGGAACCAGAATATGCCAAAGATGAGAATCCGACATTTCTCAATCTGATGAGCAGGTTGCTAGACAAGAATCCAGAAACACGAATAACCATGGCTGAGCTTCGGGTAAGTGCTGGCCAACTCTGTCAAAAAAAAATATACAGTCGACATGCTAACTCGATACTACAGGAACATCCTTGGGTCACTAAAGGAGGAACCGATCCCTTACTGTCGGCAGAAGAAAATTGTTCAGACCCCATAGAGCCGCCGAATGAGCTGGAGCTTAGCCGCGCTTTCACAAGGAAGATGAACCACCTCCTATGCGTGATGAAGGCAATCCATCGATTTAGGAGCTCATTAGCTCGCAGCCGCAAAAAAGCTGCTGCTCGACTAAGGGAAGCTACAAAAGAAAACGAGACACCCAAATTACTAGATACCAGCGCATCAGTAGAAGATATAGCAGCGCTCATCGCACAGCAAAAGACAATTCTACTTGCACCAGAGCCCGATGAAAAGACTAAAGGCCACGCTCACGATATTAGCGACCAAGAGCCGTTGTTCCTGGGCATCGGCACAGGAGCAAGAGACGCTTTTGTTACCGATGAGAAGACGCCCGACGTTGTGTCCGACTCTCCGACGGCAGTGGATTTCAATGTGTATGATCGGGCGTATGAGGAGGCTATCAACGAACGAATGAAACAGAATCAGTCAAGCAACCCTGTTCTGTACTTGACGAAACATATCAAAGAGAAGGAATATTTCAAAAAGCTGGAGAACATGGTCGACGAGGCTTTGGTCTCACAATCTCCCTTCAAGGCTGCCGTGGAGAATTCCAAGCGACTTCTAGACCCTTTACCTCTCCGTCCAGGCAATAAACTAGCCGATCTCGTGTCCACCGTTAGAGCTTCGGGAGCGTCCAAGAATAGCAGCAAGACAACAGACCAAAATTAAGCTGGTGGTTGTCTCAAGGCTGTGTCAAGCCAGCGTCCTGGCAGCCTATCCCACCAGGTAATCTAATTGTGAACATCTACAAGAAAACATTCCAAGAAAATATTTCGGGATTACGAGATACCAGGCTCGAAGAATTGCTAACCCCTCTCCTCACAAGTGACCTCCTTTTCAATTAAGGTACAACGAGAATGCATGATATATCCATGAGGCGACGATTAAGGGGCGTCCAACAGAAAGCTGTGAAACAGGCTCGTGTGTGACTGCCTCCAATCAGACAATACGCTGCTGTGTTTTTACGCTACTCAAGATGCATTATCATGATGTAGGATGAGATGAGATTATCGCTGAGGTTATCAATTCCTTTCATTCTGTGGAGAAGGCAATCTCCGCTACCAATAGTAAAGGTGTGCTCACCGCTTCGAATTTGCATACCAAGGAGGCAGCAATTATTTGTGACCTAAGGACGTAGGGGGGATACCACGTTGGAGATTTCTGAGACCCATTACTACAGCACAACGGCAGTGAAAATTACGGGCGATAGCGTTAAAAGTAAAGGACGATGAAAGGGCCGACGAATGAGGCTTGACCCATGTCATTCGGTACGATGCACATGTACGGAAGGAGTTTTAGGGAATCGATTTAGGGAAGCACCACGCACGCGCAACATGAGCATGGAATGCTGAGAGGGAAAAAAACCCCAGCCATGGGAACTACAACCAGGTATTACTCCGTCCACCAATCAATCCTTGAGGCTCGGGTAGGCATTACATGCCAGGAGCTGCTACATCTAGAAGAAAAAAATGTCTCACAGGGTGATATGAGATGCATACAAGCAGCCAAATTGCTGGTTACGAGGCTTTCAAGGCGCGTTATCACCCACGCTGACCCCTGATACATACCCGCGTTCCCTACTGGGGGTTGGACCAGCTGAGTATCGGGGGAGGGATAGATAGCTCAGGCCATGTGGCAGGTGCACGAAAATGGAGGGTTTTACTCCGTACGTATGCTGAGAGTATGTCTGGGATGCACAGGCTGAAATCTGCCAGAGTCTAGAACAAAGGGATAAGAAGCAACGGGCGCATTGGTGGTTGGATGTCAATGTAGCTTCTAAGACAGCGCTTCAAGTCTTGATAGCCGGTGGCTACAGACGCGCTGTACCGGCTATCAGAGCCAGAAATCGGTGTCCAGGTTTACCTGCCGGGGCTTTTTCAAGCCACCTATTATACTGTTATGGTGGGATGGACAGTGATCCCATGGCACCTATGCCTGCGTCAGGACCCCTCCCATGCTTGCAATTCCCAACAGGAAAAGAGTTTCCCGGGGACCTTTGGTCTGTGTTATCCGGGCACAAGCTGCAGGCCAATGACGGAAGAGCCACTGAAATGCGAGAGGCATGGCACGAGCCTCTACAGCCGGGCACGAGAAGAAAGAAAACCGCGTTGACGGAGGCTGTATCGGAGGAGCGGGAATGCGGGATCAGAAGGGGGGGATGAGGGGGGCGAAAGATTTCATGGCAGTTATCTCTCTGTTGCTTGATTCTATCGTTTTCCATTGCCCTTTTTCCCTCTTTGTTTACTAGGCTGTGACATCAGGTGAGGCATGAAAACGGGCAGCCGCCCGAGGAGGAAAAACACGCAGATCGGCAATAGAGGAGCTGACAGCTCAGCATCGACTCATTTCAGCCGCTTAGATCCGCAGTTCCCAAAGTTACCGCGAGTGAGTGGCGGGCTGGCTGCTCCCCCTGGTGGTTTCCATGCGAGTGGCGGTCGGACGGGGTAGCGGGGAGAGAGAGCAGGAGATGCGAAGCCCTTTTTCCTTGAAACAGATTCTAAACAAATGAATAGCTTGAATGAGAATAGTCTGCTTTTTATATATATATACTCCGTATATTTATTTATTTAACCGATTTCTTTGCTGTGGAGTGGCCAAAAGGCGGCGTGGCAGGCTGTGCCATAAGCTGGGGAGATGGTTGAGCCGGGCGGTTTATCTGGCCTATGAGATCATACCGAGACGTTTTGGGCAACTGTCTCTTTGGGTCTTGTCCTGATCAACCAGGGAGGGGCGTGATGGGCCGTTTTGGGCTCCTCAGTGGTAGAAAGTAGCAATGCACCGTTACAGCATACCTATCATTTACGACTATAAGTGTTGAGATGCCCTCACGCGTCTTGGCACTGGTCTTGGCCCTCGGCATCTGGCGCAAACTCGGGGAGCATGTGGTGGCATTTTAGGAGAGGAAAAGGGAGAGATGAGCGGGCTATACGTGTAAAGACGGAGCAGCGAGTCTGTGAAATGACTTCATTGTAGATAAACTAGCACCTACTAAGCGGCGTTTGAGAAAAGGGAGCGGCGGGAGGGGGGGGGCGAAGCCTTTACTTACAAATCTTTCGGGTCTTTTGCTCTGTCCGTTCAAGTAATTGTGTCCCTTTTTTTCGGTACAGTACAGCATGGCGGCGTTGGAGGCCGCCTGAGGGAAGCAGTTGAGGAGGGGGTAGCGGAGAAAGAGTTTAGGTGCAGGAATAGCGTGCCTTTTTTTTTGCTGCTGCTGCTGCTGCGGACTTACATGCTGCATGCCTTAGTACTGTACTTGGCAGTAGACTCTCCAACGTACGCACAAGAAGGTACTGACAGGACTTGGCTATCAGATGGTTGCAGTCGGGTATTTTATTTCTTGGTGTTCTTTTTCCAATTGTAGAAGCCCAATGCAGCGGGCAGTAAAAACGGTAATACTACTCTGTAGGTATTTCATACTCATACTAGGTACAATATTCAACAACGCAGGCAAGAGGGGACAATCCTGCATCCTGCATGTAACAAGCCCTCAAGCAAAAGAGTCAATGGAGAAAGGGGGGAGTGCAGGGCAGGGAGGGGTTACAAGGCGTGGGCTCATGCGAGTAAGAATCGACGTGAGAGCGTGTTAGACTTTGGGGTCAATAGCACGAGTAAGTGCGAAAGAGAGAGAGAGAGTTTGGGCTGTAAAGTGAGGGGGGGGGATGAGTGTCGGCTGCAAGGCTAGGCGTACGACTCCGTATGTATATGTTGCACGGCTGATCAAGGGACCTTGGGTATCTAATATTATGTATGTACATTACCTACCTGATTGAATCGTGCATGGCCGGGTTTGGGTGCCAAAAAGCAATTAATATATGCTAGATACGGAGTGCTGCATTGATTGCAAGTGTGTATGTAGCGGTACTTGTAGTTAATTTGAGGATAGATGAACGCGTATGTGTTCCGAAAAAGTTGAGGGTGGGATTAATATAAGCCGCTTCGGTTTCGAGATGAATTGATGCTCGACGACCCTTGTTTTATGATAATTCGCCGCGGCATATGGAATACTGTGCCGTACCTAGGTAATACTACTACTGCGTCCAACTCCTCTGGTCCGTTGGCTAGGACGAAACGCACATGGGCGGATCTGCTTACGACGATTATACTATACAGGTTATAAACCGCCAAAGTCATCCTAGCGGCTCGTCATTGGCCTTTCCCTCTTGTCCTCCATCTCGGGGTGCAGCAAACTATGAGCGATCGATGGAGTCAAAGGGCCGACAAGGAAGCAAAAAAAAGCGTTGGAATGGTCTATTTGATCCATTGATGGTCCCTTCACCCCCTCCATGCAAGAAGAAAAGAGCTGCAGTTGGGTCGTACGAGCTCATGCAGGCAAGGCTTGCGGGGGATACCCTTTTTCCTACCATATACATATATATATTTTTTTTTCGGTTCAAGCTGGGTAATGCAAGCGAATAATTCTTGTCACAGACAGCAGGAGTAAGGTATGCGTGCATGTATGTATGTAGGTAGATGCGTCCATGACGATTGCGCCTGGAGGGGGGAGTTCACGGGCCTGGAACCGGTACGTGCAACGTCAAAGGAAAGTCGTTCGTTACATGTACAGTACTTACATACCTACTTACATGTACTGGTTATATGTGTCACAACTTTAATAAAAAAAAAAGCCACCTTGCAATTGGGGGGGGAGAAAGCAAGAATGGTCAAGGAGCAGCCAAGTGAGGCTGAGACAAGAAGCCTCGATGGCTGTCTCAAAGCCCAAGCCATGTGCTGTGCCCCAAGACTTTATGCCAACTACTAGGCTTAGTAACTACTAGTGCTACTACTACATCTACATCAAAGGAAGAGATCAAAAATAGCTTAAACAGTTGTTTCAAAGCACGTTTTGGCATGCCAGAATGTTTAACTGTAAAGTTTAAAGTCTAAAATAAACACTGCCACGCTCCCGTGGTCTTGGCAGCGGTTTTCCGACTGCCGTCTTGGCAGGCTGGGCGTGCGCGCCAAGGGAGGCGACGAGAGAGGAAAGAAGCAGAAAAATTTTAAATCGTACCCGTTGGCAAATCTACGGGCCGCCCAAGAGCTGTCTCGTCTTGGCCGTCTTGGCTTTCCCTGAGATTAAATGGAGAACTGGCAATTACGTACAAGTACAAGATGGCTGTGCTGAAGCTAGCATGCAACTTTTTGCCTAGTTGAGAAGCGGTTTGACGCCGGAAGAGTCATTGACCGCCTTGTGCTTTTTTTTTTTTGCTCGACATGGACGGACGGAGGTGGAGGTTAGGAGGAGGAATGGTCCTTTGGCCTCGAGCCTTCCATCAAGTATGTAGCATTATGGAGTAGGCAGTAGTAGCAGTGCCTACTTGTATCTCACGCGGCGACAAGGCCGTGGGATATGCATGTGCGTATGTATGTGTACGGTACGTGTATGCACATAGGGCTGTGAGATGGATGACCAGTGTATGCTTGTCGGAACCTGGTAGTTCGACGACATGGCTCCCAATTGGCAGTCGCCGAGCACAGCCTTTTTTTTTTTTTTTTTTTTTTTTTTTTTTTTTTTAAGCTGCAAACCCATTTACTCAACTCCCGTCGTTGATTAAGGGGGCGGTATGCAGGCAGCGTCTCGGGCTGTGAGCACCGAATGCAACATTGCTGGCGCGCCAAGAAGCAATCAACCGCTGCCTGTGGGCTTGGACATGTCGTTTAATCATTCGCATTCCGAGGGTCCTTGGCATTTTGGGATGCGTCTTGTACAGGCATCATGGTCCTTTTTTTTTTACTGTTGTGCTGTTGTTAGCAGCTGTTTATTATTAATGAATCGTATGAGCATCTCAGTGTGTGCTGTAAGTGGGTTGATGAGGGACCCATTCCCAGGGCTGACTTGGTACCGGTACTTGTTAGATGCCACTTGCCTGCCAAGGTAATATGGAGAAGGATGGCTATGGCCCGAGGCTGCAGCGGGATGTTGCGAGAATCATCTGAGGCAAACTCAGATTGCAAGGGGGCAATTGACTACTAGGTAAACAAGACAATCTCAAAGATATCAATAGAAAGACGAGAGGAAAGGATAAAACCTCCGAAAAGACAAGATTCTTATCTCATCTACCGGGTACTAATTAAACATCTAGATCGATCTAATT